TCCCCCGCTTTGCTCCCCCTCTAAGGCCCCAAGATCTGCGGGCGCAGCGCGTGGGCAGGCGCAGTCAGCTGGACTGCCGACAGCTGGGAAGGCCTCCCCAGCCCCACAGAGGGGCTGGCTCCAAGGGCTGACCCCCGGCCCCTTCGACCCTGTCCTGGGGGTGTCCCAGGCGACCTGCCTTGTCACACCCTCGGCCGCAGACGTGGCCGAGGAGACGTGTCCAAGCCGGCCCAGCGGCCAGTGTGGGCCAGCAGGTCCTCAGGATGGTGAGGGGCCTGCGGCTCCCAGCACCAGGGCGGGGCGAGGAGGAAGAACACGGCCCCGGGGCCTCGGGTCCAGCCCCCCACTGCCGGCAGAGACCCGCCTCTGCCCCGCGTGGAATCACAGCAGCTCGTGAACCACCCGGCGAGCAGAGGCCTGCCCCGGCCCGGCACGCGCGAAGGCCGCCGAGCCCGCTGGCTCACGGGGTCCGGGTCCCCCTGGAGCGCGGCATGGACGCTGGCCGCCGGCCGAGCTCCTCGGCTCAGCGACCCGCGACCGCTCTCTGCAGGACCAGCTGCCCCCTTGGCTGCACGTGCCCGCTGGGCTGTTGCGCGGTCGTGACCCTGCACGGGACCTCACGTGGCCCCTGGCCTGGACCCCCGTGCGGGAGACAGCGGGGCCGGCCCTGGCCGCAGCGCCGACATCCACCCCGAGGGAAAGGGCCGCGCCCGGGCCGAAGGACGAGGGTCTTCAAGGAACGCCGAGCGTGGTCTGGAGGGTGGGCCAGGGCGCCGAGGGGGACGCCGCCCACAGCAAGGCCGACAACCCCGACGGTGGCGCGGGACATGAGGCTGTTCCGTCTGTCCAGGCGCAGCTGCCCCGTGGGATGGAGCCCAGCCCGGAGAGGGCGGGGAGCCGACTGCCGCCGGGGTCCCTGGCAGACGCGGGCCTCAGGGCTCCCGGGCGCAGGGAGGAGAGGGGCCGGCCCCCGCGGCCACCTCCCGTCCAGGCGCCAGCTGGCCAGGCCCTCGCTGCGCTCACCCTCTCTCCACGCCGGGCTCGGCACCGAGAAGGCCTGTGTGGGCAGGTTCTGCGTGGCCAGCGCGGCACCAGCTGCCAGCACCTGCCGTGTCTCAAGACCTGGACCCGGGGCTTCGCAACCGGAGGCCGAAGGGCCGGCCCGGCCCCTCCAGGTCAGCCCTGGCTGACCCTGCGCGCTCGGCCTCACCCCGAAGAGGATGGTGCGAAGGAGATGGGCCTCCCACCACGGCCCTCCCGCCTCGGCTCCCTCTGACATCCCTTCTGGAAACACCCAGAAGGGCCGCTCACCCTGGCCCGCGCCAGTGCCCACCGCAGGGCCTCCTGTCCTTCCAGAAGCTCAAGGCCGCGCTCCCATCCCCCAGTTCGCTGTGTCCCCCCATCTTGACCCCTGCCCCACCCCAGCCCCACACCGCCCCTGCCCCACCCCCAACTGCGTCCCACCAGCCCAGGGTGACCCCATCTGCCAGCGCGAAATTCCAGGAAGATGCTCCAGCCTGCTGGCTGCGCTCCTGGGCCCGGGCGCCGCGGCTGCCGGGGCTTGCCCGAGCGGGAGGCAGGCCGCTGCAGGGCGAGCGCGCCGGCCCCGTGAGTCTGACTCAGCGCCGGGTCAGAGGCGCCCGCAGCCCTTCCGCGCCACCCCGCACAGGCCCTGGCCACCCACGCCCACCCCTGCCGGCACAGCGCCTGCACCCGGCCCCGCCGAGACACCCCAGCTGGCGTGCCCGCGCCCACCCCAGCAGCACCGGGCCTGGGGCTTCTCCCATGGGGGCCTGGGTCAGACCCAGGAGCTCAGCCAGTGGGCGGTCCCCCGTCACAGCAACCCAGAGCCCCGGCCACGAGGAGTGACGGGACACGGATGGTTGTGGCCCAGGGTCTGGGTGGCCGGCCGCGGCTAAAGATGATGGCGGCCCTGGGGTGATTCCCCCACGGGGGTGGGGGCAGAGCTGCCCACCCAGGACACTCCCACCTCCTCCAGGTTCTGGGCAATGGCTGGAGGCCAGTCCCCTCCAGGAGGCCTCCCCCTCACGGCCACCGGCCCAGCAGCCCTTGAGCCGGGAGAGGACAGGGTCAGCGGGTGTCGGCCAGAGGCCGAGCCGCTCCCCGTGCTGTCACCAGCAGCAGCAAGGCTTTGCAGGGGCCTGAGGGCCTCCCCAAACATGCCAGACTGGACGAGGCACCATCGTGGGGCCCTGCGGGGCCCGAGCGTCCTGGCCTCAGCGCACGGGGAGCCTGGTGGCGCCCCTGGGGGAGGATGGGCAGCGCCTTCCCAGGAGAGACAAAAGACCCCACCTGGGCCAACAGTGGGGTGATGTGGGGACACCTCCCAGGGCCACTCAGCGGCCCTGCATCCCCTTCAGGCCCCGGAGCCTACTCCAGGCAGTGCTGGGACCTGCGGAGGATGCGGGCTGGACACCCCACAGGGGCACCCCATGCGGGCTGGACACCCCGCTCTGCACTGGCCCCAGGGCCCACCCAACCCGCAGTACGGAGGGGAGGGAGGCGCTGCTGGAGGAGAGCAAGGACGTGGCGTCTGTGCGTGTGCACGCTTGCACTTGTGTGTGCACGTGTGACCTGCAGAGTGTGTGCACACGTGTGAGCAGGTGGAGGGTGTGTGTTGTGTACGTGTTTACACATGTGTGTGGAGGGGCATGGCGTGGCGGGCGTGTGCCTGTATCTATGTGAGCATTTTCACGCGTGTACATGTGGAGCGTGTGTGCAAAAACCAGCACGCGTGTGCACGCATGTGAGGCTGTTGTGCATCTGGGTGTGGGTGGGGCGGGGCGGGCCTGGGGTGGGTGTGCATGTACGCTGCCTGTGTGCACACGTGTGTGCGCACACTTTCATGTCTGTGTGCATGCAGGTGTGGTGTGTGCACGTACACACCTGCGGGGGCGCTTCTAAGTGGGCTGGCGGGACAGGCCCCGCCCCTGTGGAGGCCCCTCCACCCCACCCCCACCCCTCACCCCGCCCCCTCTTCCCTGCATGGCGCCCCCTCTCAGGAGGAAACCAGGAGCGCCCTGGAAAACGGGTTTTACTGAAATTCAAAACCACCTCGCGTCAGGCTCCTGAGCCCCAGACGGGAGACTCCCCTGTGGGGAGCCCCAGGCCGCAGCCTCCTTCCTCTGTGGCTCCCCAAGCCCAGCCACCGGCCACAGGCCCACTGGGCTGCACACCCGGGGCTGCGGGGCACTCAGCCAATGAGTCCGAGACCCCAAGCCTGGGGCTGGTGCCGACCCCGTGGGGAGCCCTGGAGTGGGGGGTGAGGGAGTGGGGGGGGGAGCCGGCAGCCTGCTGAGGCGCCATCCCGGCCTGCCCTGCCTGCCACGCTCCTCCGCGCTTAGCCTTGGCCCAGACTCCCCATCAGCTGCTGGGGCCACCAGCAGGCCAGCTCAGGGGCGCACACATGGGGGGGCAGCAGCGCCCCAGGGTGTGAAGGCACCAGCTCTGCTCTGGGGAAATGCACGGGCGCTGCGAGGCGCCGGCACTGCGAGGCGCAGGCACTGGGAGGCGCGGGCACTGCGAAGCGTGAGCACTGCGAGGCGCGGGCACTGCGAAGCGTGAGCACTGCGAGGCGCGGGCACTGCGAGGCGCGGGCACTGCGAGGTGTGGGCACTGCGAGGCGCGGGCACTGCGAGGCGTGGGCACTGCGAGGCGCGGGCACTGCAAAGCGTGGGCACTGTGAGGCGCGGGCACTGCGAGGCGTGAGCACTGCGAGGCGCGGGCACTGCGAGGTAGGGCACTGCGAGGCGCACTGCGAGGCGCGCGAGGCGCGGGCACTGCAAGGTGCACTGCGAGGCGCGGGCACTGCGAGGCGCGGGCACTGCGAGGCGCGGGCACAGTGGCCAGGCCTGGCTGACTCAGGCGAGGGCAGACGTGGAGAAAAGCAGCTTTTCGGTCAGGAAAAATGTGCAGCTCAGCAAACTGGGCTCCCAGCCTCGATTCCCCTGGGGACCCTGGGGCCTCCGGGTGGGCGGCAGCCTCCGCCGAGTCCGGCCTCACATGCAGGTCGCGGTCCGGCCCGGTGGGCAAGGTCCTGCTTCAGGGGCCTTGGGGCGGGGGACAGCTGGCCCGCGCTGGGTGGGGAGCGCAGCGTTACCTGGGCGGGCGGGAGGGGCTCCTGGGGTGGGCGAGGGAGGAGCCCCAGGCCGTGCCACCAGGGGACGGGGGACACCACCCAGCAGGCCCCCCCAGTCTGCATGAGCGCCCCACCCGGGTCTCAGGCACCACCTTTGACCTCCCGCGGCGCGGAGGCCCGGACGGCTGCAGGGGGCCCAGGAGCCCAGGGTCCCGCCCGACGGTCACTAGGCCCGACGGTCACTAGGCCGGGGCAGCCCCAGCCCGTCCTCGCCGCCCCGACCGCCAGCGCCGGGACGAGGGGCCCAGCGGCCCCGGGTCCCCGTCAAGGGGAACCATCCCCAGAGGGGTGCCCGGGGGGCGGGTGCTGGGGGTGGCTCCGGGGCCGCCTGCGCCGGGGTCGCACCTCCGTGCCGTGCGGGCCCTGGCCCTCCGCACCCCGGGCCTGCCCAGGCGAGGGCTGCGCCGGCGGCCGCTGGGACCCGCGGCGAGGCCGGGGCGGCCGCGCTCCTCGCGCGCTCGGGCCGGCGGGCCGGGCCGGCCGGGCCGGGCATTGTCCTCCCGCCCGCGCGCCGCGCCAAGGGCCGCGCAACCCGACACCGGCGGGCGCGGGCCGGGCGGGGGCCGAGGGCGCACAAAGGCCGCCGGGGAGCGCGCGGCTCGGCCCCAACAGGTTGCAGGCCCCGGCGGCCCCGACGGGGTGGCGGCTCCGGCCCGGGACGCGTCCCCGCCCGCCCGCGCGCCCGCGAAGAATGAATGGCCCGCGCGGGACGCGACGGCGGCGCTCGGGGCCCCGCGCCCGCCCGGGCCACCTGCGCGCCGCGCGGAGTCGGGGCGGCCGCTCGGCCCTGGGGGCCCGCACGAGGGGTGGCCCGCGCCCGGGGGCGCCCCCGCCCCCTTACCTGACTCGGCCGGCGCCGCGCGGGCCCCGAGCAGCACCACCAGGGGGGCGAGCACGTCCAGGAGGCGCCGCCGCCGCGGCCAGGGCCACCTGCGGGCGACACGCCACGGGTTGGGGCGCCGCCGGCCCCGCGCCCCCGCGCCCCCCGCGCCCGCGCCCCCGCGCGCCCCCCGCGCCCCGCGCCCCCCGCGCCCCCGCGCCCGCACCTCGGCGCCATGCTCCGCGGCCCGACCGTCTGCGCCGCGCAGGCTGCGCCCTCCGCCGCCCGCCGCGCTCGGGCAGGGCAGGGCGGGGCGGGCGGGCGGGGCGCGGGCGGCGGGGCGGGGCGCGGGCCCCGGCGCGGGCCGGACCGGGCGGTGGGCGGACGCCGGGCCCAGCGCGCGGGGAGGGGGCGCGGGCCCGGCTGCTCCCCCGGGTCCTAGCACCCCAGCGCTGGGGCGGGGACCGCCCCCCCACCCCCGCGCGGCTCGGCCTCGCCCCCGCCGGAGCCCCGCGCCTGCTCGGGTGGGGGCCCCGCGGGTGCCGGGGCGTCCCGGGCCGAGTGCCCTGGAGGCCGCAAGGCGGGCGGTTTGAACAAAGACGCTGGGGGCCCTGGAGCCGGCGGGATGGAGGCGCACCGCACGCCCCTGGGGGCGCAGGACGGGGCGCAGTGCCCCCACCCCACGGCGCGGCCGCCCAGCCCGGGCCCTGCTGCCCCACCACAAGGGCAGCAACTTCCTGGAACCCTTGGGGGCGCCGGCCCCTCCAGGCCATGCCCCTTCCGCCGGAGCAGCTGCACCCCCACCCCACACCCCGGGGCACCCCTGGCCACCCCTGGCCGCGGCTGGCTAGAGACCAGTCCCAGCCTGGCCAGCCTGAGGCCCTCCACGCTGGCCGGCAGCCTCTGCCCACCTGCCCCTCCCCGGCCTCGCAAGGCCACCCCTTCCCCACCCCGCCTCTCAGGCCCCCTCAGCACCCTGCCCGGCAGGCTGGGCCTTCTGATCCCATGGTGCCAGCCCCCCAGTCTCCCGCCCTGCCCCCAGCCCAGGCCCACCGAGCAGGCTGAGCAGTCTGGCTGGCACAGCCCCCCGCCCTGACCCCCACCAGCCGAGGGGCACTCAGGGCCTGGAGCTGGGCGAGGTTCTGAGGAGGGCAGGGGTGGTGAGGAGGGGCGTGGGGAGCGGGGGGGGGGGGGGCACGCAGGGAGCAACACTGGCGTCACTGCAGAGGGAGGGAGGGAGGGAGGCCCGTGGGGCGCGGGTGTTGGTGGGGCGGCCCAGTCTGAGTGTCTGTGTGTGCGGGGGGTACGCGTGTGGCTTGTGTCTGCTGTGGGTCTGTGTGTGTGCGTGTGGTTCTGTGTGCGTGTGAGTGTGGTTGGGGGTGTCTGTACAGGAGGTGTGTGGGCGTGTGTCTGGGGTGTGTGGTGCGTGTGCACACGTGTCTTGGTGTGTACATGCACTGCGCGGGGTGTCCGCGTGGGGGTGGGCGTGGCGCCCTCCCAGGCTGTCCCCGCCGCAGGAGGCCTCCAGAACAGGGCCAAGGGCTCCTGCACCTCTGCCACCTCCCCTGCCCTCCAGGCCCGCTGGGCTTCACCCGCCCGGCCCCGCCCATCTTACCCGCTGCCTGCGACACCTCCTGAAGATGAGGTGTGTGGCCCGGGCCTGTCACTGCTCCGCTGCCTGGGGGGAGCGGTTGAGAGGGCAGGGAGGGCTGGGCCCAGCCTGTGCTGGCCACTCCCTCCTCCCCTCTGCTGGGCGCGCCCCGCACCCCTACCGGGGTACACACGTCTTCCCAGGAGGGCCCTGGGCATGGGGGAGCCCACCCCACGTTCCGTGTAATGAAACGCCCCGTCGACCAGGAGGCTGGGGTGTCGCTGTCTGCAGCAGGGCCTGTTGAGCCACTCGCACCTGGCCAGTGCCCTGGCCCTCCTCCCGCCTGGACACAGGGACACGCCCGCAGCACCCCCCCCCCCCGCCCGCCCCGCCACAGCGCTGCGCTGTCTGCAGAGAAGTGCACCCGGCCCTGCCTGGAGACCGGCCACCCCCGCGCTGCTGCTCCCGCCTGCATCTGGGACGCACTCCTGGGGCTCACCCGGCCGAAGGCACCCAGCACTGCCCTGTCGGGGCAGAGGACCCGGGGTCCAGGTGCCCAGCCCGTGTGCGGCAAAGCTGGGGTGGGAGGGGGGGCTTGTGCACAGGGCGGACTCGAGCCCGGCCCCTGCTCCCTGTCCCCCGCGAGCCCCGGCCTTCCCCTCCACGCCGGCGGGTCCTTCCGGAGGCAAGCGCTGGCCTCTCCCCTGAAACAGTGTTGGGGTCTCAGGTGCCCTGTTGACACTGACAGCGACCCCGGGCCGAGTGGAGGCTGGAACAGGGGCTTGGCCGGCCCCCTCTCCACTGGCTGATTCTGTGTTAAAGTGAGTTTTGTTTTACGCTGACGCGGGGCCAGTGTCCATGTTCCCCGCACTGCCGCGGTCCCCTCCCACCTGGACCTGTCCTGGGGGCCGAGGGGTGCGCGGGGTGGGCGGGCCAGGCAGAGAAGGGGCCGCAGCACGGAGGGACAGCCACAGCGGAGAAGGCGTCGGCCCCTGCCCAGGTTTCAGCAGCTGCCGGCCCGAGGGGTGTCAGCCCCGACTGGGCCGCGGCTCAGTGCCACAGGAGCCGCCAGGGACAGAGGGCGCAGGAGCTGCTGGTATAGGCAAGCGGCAGGGCTAGAGCTAGCATGCAAACGAGGCCTTCGGTCAGCGCAGTTCTGACTGGTGGACAGCTTGTCCAGCCCGCGCCCGGCCGGCACCCTGCACGTGTGCCCCCTCCCCGCCGGGCAGCCCGAGAAGCCGCATCAGGGCGACTTAACACGCCCCCAGCTGGGGCGTCCCCACAGCGCTCTCAGCGCCACATGCGAAACGTGCCGGCCCCTGGGTCCCCGCCCGGCCCCCTGGGTCCCCACCCGGCCCCTACTGGGTTTTTACCCCCAGCCCGCTGAGCACCCGCCCCTGAGCCCAGCCGGGGCCTCGCTTGGCCGGTGCAGCCCCGGGTCCCGGCCCTCGCCCTGCCAGCGAGGCTCTGTTTTTCTGCGAGTGCGTCTCTCTCTCTCTCATGTCCTTGTTCCTTTATTCGGTCACGTGCTCATTTGTTTGCTCACAGCCTGACCAGTCCCTCCTCCAGACAGGCCCGAGGGAGGGTGCGGGTGGGCCAGTCCTTCTCCACGGGACCAGGCTCCCTGGCCATGCCACACCCGCAGCCTCCATGAGCCCGCCAGCCCGCCCAGTCAGCGCGAGCCGCCTGAGGCCTGCACAGAGACCCTCCATGGTCCGAGGAAGTGAAAGTCCCACCGGCGTGTCCCCTCACCTTCCGGGGCGCGCGCTCCCTCAGCTGGCATTCCGAAATGCGCTCAGGCCTCCCTGGTGGCCTAGGGGTTAAGTCTCCACGTTATCACCGCTTTGGCCTGAGTTCCGGATGCCTTAAGTTCGATCCCCAGGCAGGGAGCTACCCACAGGGCGCAGCAGACCTCTCCTGTCTCCCCGCTGCTCCCCTCAGCAGTGGGTTTCAGTAGATCCACCTGTTCTGTTCCCCACTCTGTCTCTGGTGAGTCCTCTCACCCCCACACCTCTGGCCTGTACCCCAGTTCTTGTATGCATAAATAAATACATCTTTAAAAAAATAATATATTGCCTCGAAAAGAGATTTTTTTCAAAAAAGAGTGGGATGAAAATGTAAAAACTAAAAAGCACAGAAAAACGAAGAAGAGCAGAGTGATGGGCATCCGCAAGCTTGACTCAACCAGGCCTGGCGCGGGGAGGAGGCCCAGGCCGCCAGGACCAGGTGGCGTGTGGCACCGCCTCTCGGGAGGAGGGCAGAGGGGGGCAGGGAAACCCATGAGGAAAACCAGCTGGGAAATTTCCAAAATTCACGCCAGACACCAAACCACAGGTCCAAGAAGCTCAGAGATGTGCATCAGGACAGATGCCCCCAAATGTAGGACAAACAGGACCAAAGGGACCCCCTCGATGCAGGGCGCGGTCAAGCTGAGGAAAAGACAGAGCACCGGCCTCTGAGCCCGCCAGACCAGAACAGAGGGACGCCACACGCAGACAAAATGGCCGCAGGACCCTCCCAGAAGCCCTCCGGCCAGATAGCAAGAGAGTGACATTCTCTGGGCCATAACCTGAAAGGGAAAAAGTGTTGATTCGTACCAGTGAAAACATCTGACAATAAAGGATACGAACAGACTCTCAGACAACAAGAGCCCCTGACAGAGCTGCTGGCACGCCTGCTCCCTGAGAAGCTATCACCGACGTTCCTCATTCGGGAGGAGCATTGGCTCAGCCTGCCGGGTCTGCACAGAGACAAGGAGAGCCGGCCGCAGGAGGCGTGAAGAGAAGGCAAAGCCCGATGAACAACAACCGCTATCTAACGGCAAAACAGTCGCACTGTAAGGCGCAAGGAGCACACGGAGCGGCAGAGCGAGTGGCAACACCAGATGAGAGCGAGGCCTGGGGAGACCGCGTTACAACGTCCCCCCACTAGTGAAGGGGTCTTACGCTATTTGAAGTTAAACTCTGGTTAAGATTTATATTGTAAACCCTACAACAGTTGCTCCTTTTTAAAAAAAAGAAGCATAAATAATAAGTCAAGAGAACATAAAAATGAAAACACTCAACTAACAGAGAAGACAGAAAACAGGTAAAATAGAAGACGTCCCCTAGCTTCCTTAGGTTAATGTTATCGTTCACATTAAATGTCAATGATCGAAATGCAGCAGTTAAAAGGCAAAGATGATCGAATTGGATTAAAATAAAAGTGAAATAAAATAAAAGTAAAATAAAAATAAAAGTGAAATAAAAGTGTCTCAACTATATCATGTCTGTGAGAAATCCAAGTTAAATATAAAACACAGATTTAAAGTGTAAAGATGGGCCTCCCCGGTGGCACAGCAGGTTGAGCGCAGCGCTGTGAAGCTGTCTACAGTCTCTGCAGCATGGGTTCGATTCCCAGCCGGCCAGGGAGATACCCACATGGCACGGCAGACCTCTCCTGCCCTGCCCGCTGCTCCCCCCAGCAGTGTCTTCAGTCCATCGCCTGTTCTGCTCCCCACTCTGTCTCTGGCGAATCCTCTCACCCTCCACACCTCTGACCTGTACCTCAGTTTTTTTTATTTTATAAATAAAAACATAAATCTTTTTAAAAATATAATAAAGTATAAAGATGAGGGGAAAAGTTATTCCACTTAGTCACTAATAAAAAAGAGTTGCTACCTTGATGTTAGACTTCCAAAGGACTATTAGATAGGTTAAGAGGGATGTTCCATGACGCTGGGGTTGATTGTCTGGAAGGACATCATCATCACAACTGAGCTTGATCTAAATGAGATGCAAGTCTCAAAGGACAAGATCAGACTCCAGGCTGGCAGGAGAAATGACTGCCTCGTCATAGCTGAGCATGTCTATAATCAACTTTTGTCACGTTAGAAAAAGTAGACAGAAAAATCAATAAAGGGATAGAAGACACAAGCAGGGCGTTCAGCCACCTTGAGAGATCTCGGTGGTAGTTATAAAACTCTGCTCGGCACTTCTTCAGAGGAAGAGTGTGTTCTTCTCGAGCGCAGGGGATGACCTTGCCGTGGGCCATAAAACAAACCTTAACAAATTTACTAGAATGTAAATCATGCAAAGTGAGTGTTCAGGACACAGTAAAATGAGAAATCAAAAATAGGTACCTGCAAAGACCCAGAATATTTGAAAATTTTAAGCAGCGTATTTCAAAATAAACCATAAACCAAAGAGGAATATCGGGAGAATAAAACATGTTTTGCATTGATAGAAAATGAAAACACAACATACCAAAATTTGTGGGAAGGAGTTAAGCAGCATTTAGTTGGAAATTTATAACATTAAATGCCCATATTAGAAAAGCAGAAAGATTTTGAAGAAATGAGCACTGTGACATTGTAAGTAAATTCCAAGGTGCTTAATAAACTTCAATATTTGACGGTAAATCTCTCATGCAGTGAGACGAACGTGCTTCTTTCACCTGTTGAAAGTTACCTGCCAGGGCCTCCCTGGTGGCACAAGGGGTGAAGACACAACCTGTGAAGCTGTCCGCAGCCTCTGCAGCACGAGTTTGATCCCCGGCCAGGGATCTACCTACAGGGCACAGCAGACCTCTCCCGTCTCACCAGCTGCTCCCCTCAGCAGTGCATTTCAGCCCGTCTGCCTGTTCTGCTCCCCGCTCTGTCTCGGGTGAATCCTCTCATCCCTCACATCTGTGGCCTGTACCCCAGCTCTTGCATGCATAAATAAACAAATCTTTAAAAAAAAAGTTACCTGCCAGATATCTGCCACCAATGGTGAAATAGCACACCTTCCTTTTACAAGTCATCAGAAAGAAAATAATCAGCATTTAACAAGGAGAAACGTCTGCCTCGAGGTCCCAGGCAGCACGAGATGCGGGCGGGAGGCTGACAACACCGCGGGCGTGGGCTATCGTGAGCGACAGCAGGCGCGTCTGGGGATCACAGGACGGTCCTTCAGCCACGAGGGTGAGGAGGGTCAAGATCGAGGGTCAGGGACAAGACGAACTTGGAAAACAGGCTTTGTCAGGAAATGTCTTCCCCGGAGGGACAGAGCCCCTTGGAGCCTGTGAGAGGAAGCTCCAGGGGTGGGGGGGGGGCAGCGAAGGCGGAACTTGCACCCCTCCTCCCCTCTTTGGGGCACACTCGTCCATGGAGCCCCATCTTCCCATCCTGACAGGGCGGGGACGCCCCTATGCCCAGCGCCTGGCGTGGGCCAGCCTTTGCCGTCCACCGGCGGACGGGCTGAACGTGTCCTCACTCCCTCGCTTCTCCTTGCATTCTCTGGCTGCCTGGACTTGGCCCCGAGTGGGAGATTCTAGAAGGTTCTGGTGCTGCTTTCGCCTGTTTCGCCGGCCTGTGCCAGCTGCACTGCGCCGTGTCCCCAGGCTCCCAGTGCTCCGGGCTCTCGTCACAGGCCAGGGTGGCCGCCGGGCAGAGCGTGACCCTCGCTTCGTGTGGTTTGAACAAGCAGGTCCGCCTGGGCTCCTCTGGGCCTCTTTCCCCTCCCACGCCGCCCCGGCGCCCGCAGGAGCTGGCTCCGAGCAGGCCCTGCTGCTGCTCCCCTGGCTGCTCAGGAGGCGGCTGCGGGGAGGGTGCGCCGGGCCGCGCGGGCAGAGGCTGGCGGCAGTGGCGGCGGTGGTGACGGCCCTTCGACTGCCGCCTTCCCGTGCCATCTGGCTCTGAATGCCGCGGCCCCCGGCATCCTGGGCTCCCGCCTCAGGAACTCGGCCCCCTCATGAGCTCGGCGCCTGTGCTTTCTCAGGGCTGAGGGAAGCCTTGACCCCAGGGCAAGCCGGGGCATGGGGCATGGGGGCCACTTCTGGGGTCACACCTCCTCCCCTTGCTGCCCTGCGCCTTGCGGGCATCCCTCCCGACACAAGGCTGCTCGGGTCCCCATGTCCAGCTTCAGGGGAACCCCTCCAGGCCCCTGCGAGCTGGCTCCAGAAGGGCCCGGCCAGCTGTTCCTCGGCTCTTGGCGCCCCTGGTCTGCAAGGGGCAGCATCCCTTGACTGCATCCGCATGCAGGGAGGCAGCTTCTAGCTTGGCCCTGGGACGGCCACTGGCCCGCAGGACACCAGGCCCGAGTGACCCAGGCCCAAGCCCCTGCCCATGGCAGCCCCTGCAGAGAAGCCGCCACCCCTGGCCACTCGCTCCCACCGCTGGGTGCCCTGCTTGCGTTGGGTGGACGGTCAGGGGTCGTGAGGTGCCCCTCCAGGGGACAGGGCTGGTGGGCCCGAGGGGCCTGGGGTGGGGGCCAGTCTGACACCTGCGCCCTGTGAGGGGCCCTTCCCAGCTCATCGGGTCTGCATCACTTCCAGAGCATGGGAGAGGTGGGCACCGGACTTGGCTCCACCCTCCCCTGAAGCACGCGGCATCTGAACACGGCCCGGCCCGTGAGGCGGCTCTGCAGGGAGCGCAGGTGGAGCAGCCGCGAGGCTGAGGCCTGGGCTCTCCAGGAACGCCCTTGGGTGGGTGGGCCGACCTAACCTGCCAGTGCGGCCCTGGCCCAGGGCCTGGGGAGGGCCTGGAGGGGCTGAGGAGGGGCGGCCCGCAGCCCTTGTGTCCCTTCTCTGCTCTCCAGCAGCCCTGTCCACCCTCCATTGTCCCCCTTCCTCTGAGCTCAGCCCACCCCCATCTGCTTCCCCTTTTCCTGTTTTCTGTCTGGCCTGTGCTTTCTCCTGCAGCCTCCCTCCAGGGGTTTCTGTAGAAGGAAAGGAAATGGGGCACCGCCGGAGAGGACAGTGGCGGCCTGGCCCGCAGCCAGCAGGGCTTCGCCTGACTCAGGGGCTGTGGTGTCCGGACAGGGGCCCTGGGGGGTCCTGGGAGGGTCAAGCCGCAGCTGACGGCCGCTCTGCCCCGCGTGGGCCCAGTCCAACAGCCTCCTGCCGCAGGGCACCCCTGGCCCACGGGCCGGCCAGACCCCTCTGAGAGCCGCCCTCCCTGGCTGGGCTTATTGACGGTGCCAGGCAGGGGCCCGGAAGCCAGCCACCTGCAGAACCAGCTGTGAGCTGCAGAAGCAGACCTGGAGTCCAGGCCCACCTGGGCCCTCACCTGCCTGTCACCTGCCCTGGCCCTCAGAGGGAGGGGGGCCCTGAGTGCCCTTCCTCTGGCTCAGGGGTCCCACCCCTGCTGCTGGTAGCCCAGGCCTTGGCAGGGCCAGGCCCGCTGGCGACGCCGGGCTGGGGAGAAGTGGGTGTGGCAGAGCGCCCCGGGCCTGTCCCTCACATGGGCCCCGAAGGGGTCAGGGCCTGGCGCTCGGCCCTGAGGCAGCCTGGCACGGGGAGCGGGGTGGGCTATGTGGGCCCCGGCATCCCCATGAGGCTCGGCCACTGCAGCAGGAACCCGGGGACCTAGTCCAGCGTGTTTTTTGCCTGCCTGTCATTGCCCCCACCGTCCTCAGGCCGCCCCCTCAGCTCTGCGCCGGGCACTTCACCAGGACACACGCACCTGTGCCCAGCCCTGCCTGGGGGCTGCACGTGGCTGTGGGGGCTGGGCCTTGGCCAGCTGGTGGTGTCCACTCGCCCCCCCAGGCTGTCCGTGTCCACGGCCCCCCCCGCAGGCTGGCCGAGGCTCTGTGTGAAGCGGGGTGCTGACGCTGTGGGCAGAGATACCTCTGCAGTGGCAACAGCGGACCCAGCACTGGTGGCCTTTCCTCACAGGGCCGCCGGGAGGCTCCGGACAAGGCGGTGCAGGCCCAAGACTTCCAGGCCTCAGCGGGGCCTCGCGCACCGCCGTAGGCTTCCGCCCATGGACGCTCACAGCTCTGGCCGGGGCAGCGGGGCTGGCGAGGGCCCTTGATGCCATCTGGGGTGCGTGACCTGAGGGTCACCTGGTCCCCGCCCACCGCTCAGGCCCCACGAGGCGTTGGGGGAGATCTGTCTTGGGTGAGTCAGCGGCCGCCCTGAGGACTCACTTAAAAATAGCCGGAACTTTCTAGGTCAGGCCGCCGGCTATTTCAGGGCAAAGTCTGAGGCAGAGACACAGGCCATAAAGAGCGGGCCTCTGCCGGGCGCCCTCACGCCGGCCTCCCGCAGCCAGGCGCGCAGCAAGGTTTCCGCTCCTCCTGGGAGAGGCCCCCAGGGGCCACCCAGGTGCAGGCGCCCAGGTGTGGTGCCAGACGGCCACCTGGGCACCAGCTTTGGCCGGGTCCTGCCGCACTGTTCTGGTCTTCTGCTCCCGGGAAGGTGGCCCGTCGTGCTGGGCCAGCGCCGGCCCTGGTCGAGTTGGGGTGGGGCCTTGGCGCGGTTGGCAGGCGGGCACCACTGCCCACGGGAGACGTGCTCCACGCCCCGCCTCACGGTCCCGTCCCAGCCAGGCCACTGCCGTAGGAAGGACATGATAGGACCCACCTCCACAGCCCAGACAGCCCCTCACGGTGGTGTCTGTCCTTTAGGACGTGGCCGTGTCCTGCACAAGATGTCTGCGTCTGGTCCTGGCTGGATTCAGCCCTTTGGTCAGCCCCGGACACTCCACAGAACCTTCTGGAACATCTTCCCACTCTCCAGCAAGGCATCAGGGCGCCCACAGGCCCCTCTGGAGGGGTTTTCCACAGCGGCCCCACATAACCAGGTCCCCAGGAGCCTGTCTGCCCGGCGTGGAGCAGCTGTGGGGGCTCAGCCTGTCCCCCAGGCCTCCTGCCCGCAGCAGGCCAGGCCAGAGTCACGCCCCACCCTCCATCTGTCCCACCGGCACCCACAGGCTGCAGCGCAAAGGCGGCCTGGCTGGGTGGGACACCCGCCCCGCACTACCCCTCCCTGGCCCGGCTCCCCCTCCCCCCTCCCCCCCCCCCTCAGGCGGTACCTGGACACACACGCGTGGGTGGAGCGTGGAGAGTGACGGCGGTGCTGACACATGACAGGGAGAGTCGATGAATGATGGCTGACAGAGGACAGGAGCCAGGGGGGCAGGAGCCAGCTGGGGAGAGGATGAGGCTGAGGAGTCCGGGGTCTGTGAGCAGCTGCAAAACTGCACAGCTGCTGGGGTGCCCCTGGAGGGGTCCCTGCGAGAGGATGGCGTGGGGGACCCTCTGTGCTGGAGGCAGGGCAGGGCTCACGCTCCGGCGCAGGCTCCCTGGGGCGCGGGCTCCAGAGGGCTCGGGGTGAGTGGGCTGGCAAGGATCGGAGGACTTGGGGGTGCTCAGGGCCAGGCCCTCAAGGGAGGTGGTGTCGGGGTCCTGCAGGCCTCGGTCCCCAGAGCTGGTGCCCTGCAAAGGAGGGGGGTGGTCTGGCGGCCCCTGCCCCACCCTGCATGGAGGGCCGTGTGTGTGCCGGGCAGAGGCACCCCGGGGCCTGAGGGCCTGTCCCTGTGGCCCTGGGGAAGAGCAGAAAACGGGGCTCCCCCTGTCTTCTGTGTGGGTGTGGGGCAGGGGCCCTCCTTTTCCTGGAATGTGGCTTTATTTTGTAACAAAGCAACTGTTTAAATGTTTGTTTTCTTGAGAAAATAAATATCCGGCTCCAGCTAACGTCAGAGGAGAGGCTGTAAACCAAGTTCTCAGGGTGGACGGGGGAGACCACCCTCCCTCAGAGCGTGCCACAGCCCCGCCGCACTGCCCTCCCCCGCTGGCCCCCCAGGGTGACTGTCACCCCAGCCTGGCCGGCCCCCTGGAAAGGCCCCTGGCCCTGCTGGGCCTCTGGGGCGCCTCCTGGAGACTGGGGTGTCCCAGCAAGAGGATTCCTCAGGGACACCGGGAACAGGAGGGGCTCTGGTGTGTCCCTGCACACACACCCCTCACCCCGCACTCACACCCTGCACACCAGCACATTCTCGTGCACTCATGCTGTAACAGGGTGGTCCCCAGGAAAGGGGGGGTTCCCTGCCCCACCCAAGGGAGGGTGGAGCTGAGCAGGGAGAGGAGAAGCTGCAGAAGAGACTGAGGAAGGAGCAGGATGGAGCCAGGAGACCTGGAGGAGGCGCGTGGAGCCGAGAGACACGTGAAGAAGCTGCGCTTGTCTTTTGGTCGTGGACGGGGTGACACAGATGGGGGTGAGACCCGTGGGGAGGTGACAATGGCAGCTTTTAGCTTGATGTTGATTTTGCTCCTTTCCTTCCGGGCTTGTCTGGTTGTTTGTGACCCTTTTCTGTGGGTCCCCACTGGAAGATGCTTTAGACTTGGGGCAGGCCTTGGGGCCTTGCTCTGGGCCGATCCCATATGGATGGACTTTTACCCACGAGGGGACGGGTCACTTTGGGTCTAGAAACTAGACTCTTTGCCTTTCCTGTGTTGTTTCCTAGTTTTATTAAAGTTCCTTTTCATTAAAGTCTCCTATGTTTTGTGTGGATGCGGCGGATGGCAGAACCCATTTAGAATAGGCAGGTTTGCGGGGTTTGGGCTGCCCCGCTCCCTGTCCGATAACAATGCGTGCACACACTGCCCGTTCACCCACACTCACCCTCGCGCGCGCACACGCCCCATCACACGCTGGCGACAGCTGGACCAGGGTTGGTGAGGCCGGACCCTCCAGGACCCCCGGGACCCCCGAGCCTCGGTCCCCGCTCAGCTCCCTGTCCAGGGGCACAGGATGGCCAGGGAGCTGGGTCAGATCGTGGGCATCCTGGCGGCCTCCATCTGCCAAAGGGAATCACGCACTTGGGGACGCCGCAGCCGGTGGACAGTGAAGCCGGCGCTGCGGGCGGACACGGGCAAGGCCAGGCCGGCTGACCGCACTCAAAGAAGAGAAGGACGAGGGAGCGGAGGAGAGGGTGCGGGGAGGCCGAGGCGGTGGCCGTGGCCCCTGAAATGCCAGAAGCCACCCCGAGGGCAGGTGAGCAAACGCTTCCAAAGGGAAACCCCCTGCAGGACCCCGCGGTGGGGGCGCCAAACCCGGAGCGAGAGCAGGAGCGGGAGGGGCCGTGGGGGGCCACGCCTGAGCCCCGGCCCATCCAGACCCCGCGCCACGCGGGCACCTCCCAGGGGGGCGGTCAGGAGACACTGCGGCGGGACGGCCAGCGGGGAGGGCATGAGCGGGTGCCCACCAAGAACAGACCCTGCGGGCTCCGAGGGCAGCAGCGCCTCTGACCACCAGGGAAGGGGACTCGGGCCCCAGGACGCCATCCTGGCAGCGAGACGGGGCGGGCGGCCGCTCCCAGGGCAGACACGTGCAGCCCCGCCGCAGACGGGCAGGACGGGGCCCGCGGAAGCGTGTGGAGCACCCGAGACCCGCTCCCGGCGGCCGCCCCGGCCCCGCGGCCTGTTGGTGGCAGGCGCAGGCCCCGCCCGGACGCAGCAGGGGCTCGGCGCGGGCCCAGGGCGGCCCACCGTGGGCTCTGCTTGCTGCCCCCCCCCCGCCCCCCTGCAGCCCGGGCACCCCAGCCGGAGGCCAGGAGCGGAATCTGGGCCAGACGTCACGGCCGGATTTTCCCAGCCCGTGAGGGACTCTGGGGGTTCTGCTGAGTCATAAGTTCCCTCGCCGGCCCCGCGCGGGCGGAAACGCTCAGCCTCTGGGAGTGAAAGGGTGGATTTGGGCTCCAGCCCAGCGGAAGGGCTGGAGCGTGACTCACGGCCACTGATGGGGTAAACAGGCCCCGGTCCGGCGGCTCCAGGGCAGGAAATGGGACTGAGGCGTGAACAATGGGGAGGCCCCAGCCCGGGGGCCCTTCCATGACAAGCGAGGGACTGCGGAGCCCCAGGGAGGCGCCGGGCGCGAGGGGCCCGGCGATGGGGTCTGGCGGGAGTGGGGCGCCAGGGGCCTGCTTTGGGGTTCCGACTGAGCTGCCTGCAGGGGCACAGGGTGTTTGAGAGGCGAGTGTTGGGGTGATGGCTGGGCTGGGGAGCCGCCAGGCAGAGCCCGGAGGGTGGCAAGCGGGGGGTGAAGGTCCTGAAGTCACTGCAGGATCAGCTTCACCCCGGCAGGTCCCGGGGCAGACGCTCAGGGCTTCCCGGGTGTTCTGGGCGTCTCCTCTGTGCACGCCCGTCCCCCAGCACGAGCACCCCGCATTCCAGCCAGAGCCCGCGCAGGGGTGCCGAGCACAGACACAGCGCCCAGGCCACCCGTGTGGGCGCGGGGCTCAGGGGAGGTGCACTGTGAGCAGGGCCAGCCGCGCCCCTCCTGGGCCCAGAGGAGGGATCCCCAGCACTGACCCGAGAGACGGGGCATCCCCCCAGAAGGGACGGGTGGCCCTGGTGCCGCAGACCCACCACGCCCCCCCCTCCCGTGGGCCTGGCCCGCCCCCCACAGGGCTGGGGCTGCTCCTGCCCTGTCCCAGCAGCACTGCGGCCTGCGCTTGGGAGTGGCCAGCACGCGGGGGGCGCCCTGTCCTGCGCCGGCCACGCCTGGAGCCCCGGCCACCGGCCCCCACAGCCTGCGCATCCTGGCACTGGCTGAGCACACGGTCACGGGAGCGGGAGGCCTGGCCTGACGAGTAGGGGCACCCCCTGCCCACCCTCCTGCCTCTGATCAGGTGGCACCCCAGCCATGGCCACCAGCGGGGGGCACAGACGCCTCCGCCGCCGGGCCCAGGGTCACCCCGCGGCCAGGGAGGGCGGGATGGCGAGGGCTCAGGGGAGGAGGCCAGATGCCCTGGGCAGCCGTCCAGGCCGAGAGCAGGGCCGGGCGGGTCAGGGGGCCTGGGAACGAACAGGGGACCGAGACTCCCAGCCAGCCCGGCGGGGGCCAGGGGCTGTGGGCTCCTGCTCGCTGCTGACCCCAGTTGCCCGGAGGGAGCACTGGGCAGACCTGGCTTCCACCGCCTACCGCAGCACTCGGGGCTCCCTTCTGTTGGGGAGCAGCACGTCCTGATGCTTGACGGGCTGCCCCCCATGCCACAGCACCCCCATGCCCAGCCCCCTGCTGGCCCTTGACCGCCTGAAGGCAGGGCTGCTACGAACCCAGCCTGGGGCTGAGCGGCTGGACCTGGGGTGAAACGCGCCCCCCAGTCTCGCTGCCCCCCGCCCTCAGCTCCTCACCGTGTGCCCGCCTGGTCTGTGCCAGCACGGTGAGGCCCCACCCTGGCTGCCCGTCCCCCCGGGGTAAGCGCCCCAGGCACCGTCTCCCCCAGGCGCCACGGGGGGGCCTCGTGGCGGCTGCTGGGCATGGCTCCCTGCCCCCCGTGTTTCGGAGGGTTTGTTCGGCGACACCGTGTGACGTTGCTGTGTCGTCCCGGCCCTCGCAGGACTTACCCGAGAAGCCGCGCACCTGCAGCTGCTCCCCCGAGAGCCCGGGGGGCCCCCCCAGCCCTGGCAGCTGTTTTTGGTCCCATCCCGGGGTGATTTAGGGACACACTGTTGCCCACGACACTTCGCTTGGCTTCACTGTCTGGAAGCGGACGGGGCGCGCCCGCCCGCCCTCCTCGAGGGGGCCCCTCCCGTGCAGCCTGGTCTCCTCAGAGTTGTCCTCTGGTTTGGGGACTTTCCCCTTGTTTCTCGTGTCATTCATTTCTGCTATTGCCTGTATTATCTGCTTAGCCTTCTGGGTTTAGTTTGTCTTTTTCTGGCTTGTTCCGTAAGGGGAAGCCTTAGAGGACCGGTATTAAGCCTTTTTGTTGCTGTTTCTAACGTCAACATTGGAAGCTACAAATTTCCCTCAAAGCACCTCTTTGGCTGCACCCGTGGGTGCTCCCACGCGAGCCAGTGCGCGTGCGTACGCGTGGGCCATGCGTGTCCCGCAGGCGGGCAGAGCGCGGGTAACGAGACAGCACAGAGGGCGGCAAAGCAGACAACTTCAGCCACAGAAATGCCTCTCTCAAGGGACCGACTTCCAGGCACCCGCAGAGCCCCGAGGCAACAGTCTGCGGGGGCTGTGGGGGTAGGTGGGGACAGCGGTGGGGGACGAGGGGGTGTGAGGCAGCAGGGCCGGTTCAGCCCAGGGCTCTCGCTGCTGCTGCGGCGCTTTGGGCCCCTTGGCCTGTGGAAGCCCCCCCGTTTCCCCAGTCTTGCTGTGTCAAATCTCCCCTCTATGAGGACACAGAGTGGGGGTCTCCCATGACCCCACACTGTCTCGACCATCTCCGCGCTCCAGGCTGCTGTGTCCCCCAAGCCCACATGTCAGAGGCCACTGGGCCTCCAACCAGGTGACTCAGTGGGGCGGGGTCACGGGGGGCCCTGACCCAACAGGACGGGCCTTTGGGGACAAGGGAGGGAGCAGGACAGACCCCCGGGGAGGCCGCGAGGACCTGGGGATGCGTCCACAGCGGGGGAGACCCTGGGGCCGCCCAGGACCCTGTCCCTGACCGAGAATGTTTGCTGCCCAGGCCCAGGCTGCGGTGCTGGCCACACTGGCAGCTCCAGGCGAGGTCGCCGTGATTGTGCATGTGGACCTGCGTGTGGACACGTGTGTGCCGGTCCACACCTGTGCATGTGTGTGAGCCACGCCCCCGGCGCAGACACCCTGAGCGCAGGGGTGGCAGTGCCGGCCGGGACCCCCGATGCGCCCTGGCGGTGGCGGGAGCCAGGCTCACGCCCTGAGGCCCGCTGGCCCTGCCGAGAGGCGGCAGGACTGTGGCAGCACCCAGGGGCCGTGAGGGCCGCGTGTGACAGGGGTTGGCCAGCACTCGAGGACCGAGCCGTGGCCAAGAGCCAGGGGAGCTGCAGGGGCTTCGGGGCAGCGGGGCAGCGGCAAGCCAGAGGGTGGACACCGGGAGGGGCGAGGGGTCAGGACGCCGTCCACTTTGGCAGTCGGGCCCACGTGTAGCCTGGGCTCCATTCTTATTCCCAGCCCACCCTCCTCCCAGCATCTTGGGCCCCGTAAAACCCTCAGGGCCCCCAGCCCCAGTGGCCGCCCAGAGAGGCCCTTGGGGCCTTTCTGCACCCTCTGGCAGGGGCTGCCCGGCGGCCGGTCGGCTGCAGCCCAGCAGCAGGAAATGGGTCCCAGATGCTGATGTGTGGGGCCAGCCTGAGCCCCCAACCCCTGGAAAGAGGAGGCCTGTCAGCTGCTCAGATTTTCCAGGGCTGAGCCCCCGGGTCATCAGTGTGGGAGGAAGGAAGTGTCCTGGGAGGGGCAGATAAGCCTCCTGCACCCACAGGAAGGGCCAGCCAGGCAGCTCCATCTGGACCCTTTCTCCGGAAACCGTGGGCCCACGTCAACCTGGGGCACCTGTGGGGCTAGGAGCAGAGGCAAGGCCACACACAGATCGAAGGCACCCCGAAAGTGGGGGCTCCAGTACAGGGGAGATCACGGGATCCTTCCCATGGCCCCAGTGCTGCTGGACGGCGCTGCAGGGAGGGAGGTGGGCAGTGGACAGAAGGGAAGTGGGGGCAGGCAGGTGAGCACTTGGGCAGGAGGGCACAAGGGGAACTGGACCGGTGGGGAGGTGGACAGTGGACAGTCGGGCGGAGGCAGGCAGGGGGAGGTCTGCTGGCACGGACACCTGGATCAGGGCCCACCCCAACGGCCTCATCTTATTTCATTTTAAAATTTTGGGGGGTTATGGCTTTGCTTTTCCATCTGTGCGCGTGTTCCCCACCCTCCACCAAACCACCTGTGCCCATGCCCCTGAGCCTCCACCCCAGCCTGTTCCCTCTGGTGACCATTTACTGACTTCAAGGTTTGTTCCTATTTTGTTTTTCTTTTGGTTATTTCTATTCCACAGATGAGTGAGGTCAGCCGCTGCTTCTTTCGTGTCCTGACTCACTTCATTTAACATCACCTCGAGGACCAACCATTTTGCCGCCAAAGTCACACTTCATCTTTTTCACGGCCGTATAGTATCCCGTGGTTTCTTCACCCAGTCGTCTGTTGAAGAGTTGGGTGGAAGAGCCACAGGCTCGACTTGAGTAAGCTTGAGTCCCCAGCACCCAGAATCAGCTACACCCACGGGCACTGGGGCAGCACTCCACTCATCTTGGGGGGAATCAAGTATCTGTGCCTGGGCTGACCCGTGCGTTCAGGAGCTCAGCCCGTTTGCTGAGACCTCACCATCAGCCGTCCGGCCCCATCTCTGGGTCCCTGAGGCCCGGGTCCCGGCTCCCTTGCATGGCTGAGCTGGGTGCTCCTGGCTGCACCTTGGGGGTCCTCAGTTGCCCCTGTGACGAGGGTTGGGGAGGGGATAGTGCCAGCAGGCACAGGGCAAGTTTGCTATGGATTTGGGCAGGTGGATAAAGGGAGCCCATGAGTCCTCAGTGGATTTTTCAGGCTTTCATGCGCCCCGGACACAGACGCGCCAGGCAGGGAGGCGGCGCGGGCGGGCGGGGGGCTGCGGGGGCAGCAGCCAGGCCTCCAGCCCCCACGAATCTCGCGCTTTCTCTGGGCTCTCGTCTCGTGGTCTCACCCCTTCTGTAGTCACATCCCTCTTCTCCCTGCCGCGGCTACCGCTGCTTCTATCCTGCCTCCAGGCCCAGGCGTGCACACTTACACACAAGCACACCACGGTCCACGTGCCCACACTCAGGCCCGCGCCCCAGCCCCTCCTGCACTGACATGACCGAGGCCGCAGAGGCCAGTGCGGCAGAGCCCGAGGAATTCACCCTACGGGGGCGCTCAGGGTGACACTCGCTGTGGGCGGGGGCTGGCTCTCGGGAGCCTCCGGGCACCTGGGTGGCCCTGCGGCCTGGTGAAGCCTGGGTGACGCCAGCCTGCCGGGGTGCCAGGGAGGCCGGGCCAGCGCTGCCCTGGAGTCTGGGGCGAGCTCCCTGAGGACTTGCAGACACACCTGTGGCCCAGCAGCGGCGACGCCTGGGAGACGTCCATTTCCCTCCCAGGTGGCAGAGCCACAGAACCCTGAGCCGGGCGCCAGGCGCCGGCCTCGTCTGGAACAGGACGACCTGTGGCTTCAGGCTGACCGCAAGGCTGTGGTGCCCGTGGGGCCTTCAGGATGCTCCAGGTTCTTTCTCTCTTTCGGGGGTGCCGAGGGGTTGGGGGCAGGGGCCTGCCCTGGTGTCCGGCTGGGGCTCCCCCTGGCCCCAGGACGCCGGGCAGATTGCGGGACACGCCTCTGTGTCTAGGAGGCCGCACTGCGCCTCGGGCCCTCCTGACTCGGGAGCGTGGGCGGGCAGGGGCGCTGCGGGCGGGGGCGCTGCGGGGGCGGGGCGCCCTGGTCTCTGCAGCTTCTGGTGTGCAGGGGCGGGCTCGGCCCGGCCAGCGCTGCACAGACACACCTGGACGCTGCGCTCCGCGGCTCTAAATGCCAGAGATTCCAGCCTTGACTCCCGCGTGGGAGATCCCAGGAGGGCCCCGCGCCCCGCGACTGGCCGCCCGCGCCCTGCCCAGCCGCCCCACGAGGAATGCGCGGCCCCTGATGGCCCCCGCGGCGGCGCCCGCCCCGCCCCGCCCCGCCCCGGCCCCGCATTTGTCCTCCCCACGCGGCCTGTGACGGGGAGGGCGGGAGCCCGGCCAGCCCGGCCCTGCGGCCCGCCAGGTGCGGGGAAGGGAGGCCACGCCGAGGCCCAGCCTCGCCACCGCGTCCCCGGACGCCCGGCCCGCCCCGCCCCCGGCCAGGGCACGGCCGGCGGAGCCCTCGGAGCGGCGCGGTGGGGCCGCCGTCCCGGCGAGCACGAGGGCTCCGGCGCCGCGGCTCGGCTCCTCCCGGCAGCCCGGCGCCCCGCCCGCCCCCACGGCCACCCCGCGGAGGCGGCCCCGCCGGGCAGCGGGCTGGGGCGCCCACTCCCGCGAGCCTGCCGGCCGCACCGCCCCAGCAAGGGCGCGGCGGGACGCTGACGGGGGCGGCGCAGGCGGGCCGGGCCTTCCCTGCCCCAACGCGCGCCGCCACGGCAGGGCCGGCGTCCCCGGCTCCACCGCAGGCAGCTGGGGCCGCCCGCGGAGCCCCTTTATGCAGCTGTGCACGGCCTGGATCGCAGAGCAGGCCAATCAGGTGCGAGCTATGAGCTGATTGGTGCTAGATGGTCCAATCAGCCACAGGATCGAAAAATGGTCCAATCAGACTTTTGTTCCCAGGACCCGCCGCCTGAGCAGCGGGAGCGGCAGGGGCCGTGGCTCTCGCACCCCGGCCCCGCCACAGTCAGGGTGGCAGCTGCTGCTCTCAGCGCTTTTATGTCACCGTGTACTTCCGGGATCGTGGGGTGGACCAATCAGGTGCGAGCTATGAGCTGATTGGTGCCCAATGGTCCAATCAGAGCTTTGTTACCAGGACCCGCCGCCCACCGCCAGGCGGTGTGGCAGTTGCGCCTCTGCGCCCTTTCGTGTGCAGCGGACTTCCTGGATCATGCAATGGACCAATCAGGCGCTATGGGCTGATGGGCAAATGGCCCAATCAGCCACAGGATTGGAAAATGGGCCAATCAGAGGTGTGGGCGGGGCTCCCCGAGCGAGGATATAAGTCGGGCTTGGTTGCTTTGAGAGAGAGACGACGCCAGGCCCCAGAAGCGAAGAGGACGAGGACGGAGAGGAAGCAGCCCCCGAGGGAGGGAGCCGGGGCCGCTGCCGGCACCGAAGAGGCGGACATGGCTGCAGCCTCCGGGTGAAGAAGCAGGAGGGGAGACTCCGCTGCGGGCTCCGCAGCGAGAGCAGCGCCGGGGGCCGCGGTCCCAGCCGGCCTCGGTCCCGTCCTTGGCGGGGCCTGAGGAGCCCGGAGGCCTCGGGCTGGCGCCTCGGGAGCTGCTGCTGCCGGTCGCCGACCTCTCGCAGCCGAGGCGCTGGGTGTGTCCGGCGCCGCCCCCGGGGCTGGCGGGGACCCCTGCGCCGGCCGGTGCCGTCTGGCCTCCTGGGGGCCCTGGGGGGCGGCGCCGCGGGCGGCCCTGGAGCCCCGCCTCCCGTCTGTGGGGCGCGGGCGCGGGGAGCCCCGGACGGCCCTGCCCCGCCGGGCTCGCGCCCAGGGCCCTGCCGCGTGGGTCTGTCCCGCCACAGCCCCGGCCAGGGCTTTTGGCCCGCGGGGCTTTTCGGCGGCCCCGGGGTCAGCCCGGCAGGGGCGGCCGCTCCGCTCCTCCGCCCGCCTCCTGCCTGGTGCCTGCGGCCGTCTCTGCCCGTTTTACTCAGAGGCCAAACTGTCCACACCGGCACCCTGAAGGGCCTGTTTCAGGTGCTCCTCTGGCCTGGCCTGCCTTACCCCCAGAGACTTCACTCTCCCTTGGGAACCCCAACTCCTAAGGTATCTGAACCCCGGGCTTGGCAGAGGCAGCCTTTCCTTGGCCTGGGTCCCCTCCAGCAGGGTCCTTGCTGGCGACACCCAGAGACACCAGGGCTGCTGCTCCTGGAGTCAGAGTCGGGGGGAGGTGGACAGAGTGAAGGCCCAGCTGCCTGGGCGCCCCAGGGCCGCCGGCACCCTGGCCACGGGTCCCCACCCTCCACCAGGCAGCCTCCCCCAGAGCCGCACCTCTGCTGCCTGTGGTTGGTGCTGCCCTGCCTGCAGGCCCTCTGTCCCCCATCCCCCACGGTGGTCCTGGGTGGTGCACGTGACTGCTGACCTCTGACCGCGTGGCCCCAAGAGCACAGCAGGGGCCTAAACCAGCTCTGTCCTGCTGGCCTCCCAGCAAGGCCCTGGGACATGGGAGCTGAGCACTGGGCCCCGGCCTGGGTCGCGCCGGGGTCAGGGAAGCTGCCCCAGGAGGTGTCGCCTCAGGAGTCGGCCACGGCAGGTGCACTGGGGGCTGAGCATGACCTGTGACCCCACCAGAGCTACCTGTGACGCTCAGAATCACTTTGGACCCAGTCCCTGCGGGACGACTGCAGCCGGGGAGACAGGCCCCGTCCTGCCAGGCGACCCCCCACTCCCAGCTGAAGAGGGGTCTTCCGGGGCCCCAGCAAAGGACAAAGCCCCCTGTGTGCTGTCCTGGGGCCAGGGCCGAGGAGGACAGAGCCTCTTTCAAGGCCTTCCCAGCCCTGCCGCGGTCAAGGCCAATTAGCCAGGGGGCTGCTGGGGCTCCCGGGGCCGCCGACGGGATTGACGCCACAGTGACAACAGCCAGCGAGGACGCCCAAGGCCATGGCAGGTCTCGCCCCAGCTCCTCACACGGCATTCCTGGGGGCTCCTCGGGGCTCTGCCCACGCGCGCAGGGGGCTGCAGGGCCCAGAGGACACAGGCAGGGGTGCAGACCAAGTCCTTGGAGGCCAGGAGAGGGACCACAGCCCACAGGGGCCACTGCCCGTTGGGGGGTCAGGGCCCACGGGATCTCGGTCACAGGGGGTCACGGCTCAGGGCAGAAACATGGCATCACGCGCAGCTGGGCAGCCAGAACACTGACCTGGGGTCCAATATCCAGGTGCAGCGTGGAAAGTGGTCACACCTGAGGAGCCGGCCAGCCCCACCTCTGCCCACCCCCATTCACTCCGTCCACAAGTCCTGGTGCCGGAGCTCCCAAGCCCTGTGGAACCGGACACCTGCCCCCAGCCGGCCAGGCGCGGCCTTTCTCCCAAGGACGCCTCACCCCACTGCCTCCCGCCCGCCGGGCTTCTCTGGCCCTCACACCCGGCCAACAAGTGAGGTCTCAGCTCCCTTCCCACCACCACGGGCCCCCTTGGAGACGCGCGGCCAGGCCCCTCGGCCCGTCCAGCTTGCCTCTAACCCCATGGGCAGGAGGACCCAGCCTTCGAGGCCCAGGGCTTCTGATGCCACTGGACAGTCCTCCTTCTGGCCAGTCTGATCAGCCCACGCGACACAGCACACGGGCGGGGGAGGGCTGCCGTGTGGCCTGCAGGGCCTGGCGCAGCACATGGTCCTGCCCCCCACCCTGTGCCGGCCCCTGAGGCAGGGGCCTCCCTCAGACTTAGAGGTGTGCAGAGAAGGGGGGCGGCGGGGGGGAGGAAGGGCTGGCGTGGGACACACCCACCAGGGGCCACCGGGCAGGGGTGCTGACCCGGAGCTAAGTCGCCCTGGGGGCTGGGGCACCCGCAGGGCCATCCTGGGAGACCCTGGGAATGTCCCGCAGAGCAGGTGGGACAGCGCTGGAGACCCGGCCCCACCCAGCCGCGACTTCTTGACTCCTGGAGACCTGCAGGACTCCGCGGTGGGCCTGGGTGGTCCAGGGCCCAGAGCCTGCAGCGTCCGGCCCGGCTTGGGCTTTGCTGGGTGGGTGGTCCTCGGGCACCTCCACCTGCCCCCTGGCTGCCTGAGGCTGAGGGAGGCCATAGGGACTCGCCCCCAGACCCCCGAGCCAGAGCCGCGGCTGCACTGGGCTCCAGAGGCGTGGCCGCCCCTGCTCAAGCCCACGCGGCCTGGAGTCCCGGCACAGCAGCCCCTGCCGGACTCTGCCAGGCGGTGTGGCCCTGCAGGGGGCACCCCAGAGTGCCGGCGGCGGAACCCGGTGTCCCGGGGACATGTCCAGCACGCCCTGACCTGAGGCACCAGGCAGAAGCGTCCAGGCAGGCTCACCCGGGGGCCGGCCCATCCTGAGCATGGTTTGCCCTGAGGCTCCTTCGGCCCGACCCGGGTGTGAGGCAAAAGGCCTGAAAATAGGCCAGGACCCCGGCCGCACAGCCAAGCCCTCCAGGCCGCCCTGGCTGGTCCGGGTCAGGGAACTCGTGAGGCCAGCCCCGCCGGTTGGGCCCCGGCTCTGGACAGCCGCACTTCCGGCCGGCGGCACGGCAGGGGCTCTGTTTACTCTGGCAGAGGGCTTTCGGGGAGCGGCGGGCGTGTTTAGTCTCCCATCCATTGCCGACTCTGGGAAGGGCTGGGGTGCCTGGCCCCAAATGGGAGGTGGGGGCCGGTATGTGGGGACCTCACCTGATGGGGACGAAGTCACTTTGCAGGGCCCGTGGCCAGCTGCCCCGTGGGCTGACCCATGTGCGTCCTCCCACCCACCTGTGCCCCGCCCTGGGCCGTCCCCTCCCCTCCACATGCTCCGTGTGTGTGTGTCTGTGTGGGTGAGTGTGTGCCTGTGGGAGCGTGCACTGTGTGTGCGTGGGTGTGAGCGTCATGTGTGTGCCTTGCGGGTGAGCATTATCTACCCGTGCATGTGAGCATATGCCCATGTGTGTTGTGAGTGTGCACCCGTGTGTGTGCGCACCCGAGTGTGTGTAAGCATGTGCCCCGAGGCGTGCACAGCGGGGCACCCCTGCCTGGGCTCACCAGGCCCAGGTGGCGGCTGCCGGCCTCAACTGTGGCCCTTTCATTTCTGGTCCGCGTAGCGAGGCCTGAGAAGCCCAGGAAAACCAGTTCCCTTTCTGGAAACCTCCAGAGTCACGATCCGCTACCAGCAGCGGATTCTCTGGCCGGGTCTGCTGAGGCGTCCCCGCGCGGCATGGCTGTCCTGTCCTGTCCCTGTCCTGTCCCCCTCGCTGCCGAAGCCTTTGGGGTGTGAGGGAGACCCCGGGCGTGGCTGCCTCTGAGGACCACACGCCATGGCTGGGCTGTGAGATTTGAGGGACCCTGCCATGGCCTCCCGAGGGTGCCAGGGTCACGTGGCTGCACCCCTTCCTGCTGCAGGGAGCCCCCACGCCCTGCCCCACTTCCCCGGTGGCTGGGGGAGGCCAGAGACCAGGCAGAGAGGGCACCTGCGCCAGCTGCGAGCCCCCGCCACAGTTGCTGTCCCTACCCGGGGCTGTGGGCTGAGGGCCAGGTGTGCTGGGCAGCCCCAGGTCGTGGACATGTCCCCGGGTCCTTGCGGGCATCCCTGGGGGTCTGTCCTGCTTGCCCCAAGGACCCCCTCCTGTTAGGTCAGGGCCGCCGTGACCCCGCCCCACTGAGTCACCTGGCTCAAGGCCCAGCTCCACAGAGCACGTGTCCAGGCTGGGGCAGGCGCCCCCACGGGGGTTTGGGGCACAGCTTGGCAGACACTGTTTTAGAAGCTCCGCCTAGGACAGAAGACGCCGTCTCAGGTTTCTCAGGGGATGAATCTTGGCCGCCATGCTGCCACCTGACAGCATGGGCGTCACTGTGAACATGGGTGTTTGCCAGCACTCCCAGGGCCCCCAAGATCCCCCAGGGCCCACCAGCACCTCCAGGATCCCCGGAGACCTCCCAGGGACCCCTGAAACCCCCCAGGGCCCAAGCACCCCCACCTAGCCACACAGCACCAGCCTGCCGCCCCAGGTGGCCCTGGGGGACACGCTGCAACAGAAAGGGCTCCACCTGCCCTGGCCGCCCGCAGCCACCCAAGCCCTCGCGGGCATCTGTGCAGGTGATCGGGGAGACCTGGTTGTGAGGGAGGCGGCGCTGAGATGGCCCTCTGGAGACCCCAGGGGCCGATTCCTGCCCAGCTCTTGGGCTGGGTGCTCCTGAGCTCGGACCGGGAGGCACCGCCAACAGGGAAAAACCCTGGGCCCTGAGAAGTGGGGACCTGCCCGGGGCGGGCGGGGCTGCGGCCCACAAGGCAAGTGGGCAGCCCCCAGGGCTGGAGCAGCGTGGAGCTGGCCTGGGCTGGCGCCAGCTGGCCAGTGCCCCGTACACGAGCTCATTCGGGGGACTCGGGGTGGCAGGAAGGGAAGAAAAAGCCATCCCCCCTCCAGATGCCCCCACGGACTCTGCGGGGCCCCGGTCCCACTCCCGGGGAAGTGGCGGCTGCCTGGCCGTGCTGGGTGTCTGGGGGCTGAACTGGGCCCCCGCTGGGCAGCAGGGCAGATCACCCCAGGGCTGACACTCCCCGCCCGCCCAGGCAGGGGGTGGTGCTGCCCTGGCCCCACGCCTGTCCAGACACAACCTGGCCCGGTCAGTGCCTCCAAGTAAATATTTAACTGCTGGGCACGGCCTTGCCGGGGCCTCCTCACCGAGTCGCCACCTGAGTGCCTGTGGCTGCAGGCCGCCCCCCCAATACTGCACCCCTGCTCCCGCCCCGGCCCCAGCACCGCGGGGCTGGGACAGCGGCCTGGAGTTGGGGCTGCGGTCAGAGAAGAGGGGCCTGGCGCTGCTGGGGCCAGGCTCGGCCTCTTCCCACTCCAGCCCCCCGCCCTGGCCCAGCAGGGCCCCTGGGGTTGAGGGACCCAACACCCACGCAGCACCCGCGGCCCCCCGCGGCCCCCCACCCCGCGAGGCCTCCCGGGCACTGCCCAGCGCGGGCAGGCAGAACCGGTGCAGCCGTCCCGCGCCGCTCAAAGCACGCGCCGCCCCTCCGCGTTCGGGCCCGCCGGCCGCTCCTGGGCTGGCGCCGGTCCCGAGCCCCGGGCGCCCCGGACAGGTCGGCGGGCGGCGCGCCTTCTCCGCGCCCACTCTCCCTGCCCGCGGCCCGCGACCCCCAAGGAAAGGGCGGCCGCCTGCTGCGGGCACGGGGCGGCGCGGGAGGGGCGCCAGGGCGGCTGCGGGCTCGGGGTGGCCCTGACACCGGACTCCGGGGGGCGAGGCCCGCTGGCCGCGGGGCCGGCAAGGACGCCGAGCCCGGCCAGGCCCAGGGGCCGCGCCCGGGAGACTTGGGGTGCGGTTGGGCCGGGGGCTGAGGCACCCCGCCCCCCCTTCCCTTTCCTGACCGCCTGGGGCGCAAGCCCGGCCCCCCGCCGCCCCCCGCCGACAGCCGCCCCCCTTCCCCCCCCCGTCACCCCCGTCCCCCTTCGCCCCCCCCCCCGTCCTCCCCTTCCCCCCTCCACGGGCGGAGCCGCGGCCGCCCTGCCCCCTGGTGGCGGCCGCTGGGCCGGTGGCTCTTCAGCCGAGGGCCGCGCTGGCCCTGGGGCCCCAGAAGTCGGCGCTTCACGGGAACTGAACCCCATCTTTTTCTCTGGGGGCGGGTCCCCCACCTGTGCGGCCACCAGCGAAGGAGCCCAGAGTAAGCCCCAGAGGCGAGGCGGGGGGGGGGGGAGACCCGGGGCGGGGCCGGGCGGGGGCGGGGCCGGGGAGGGAGCGAGGGGCCGGGCGGGGGCGGGGAGGGAGCGAGGGGCGGGCCGGGGCCGGGCGGGGCGGGGAGGGACCGAGGGGCGGGGCGGGGGCGGGGCGGGCGGGGGCGGGGAGGGAGCGAGGGGCGGGGCGGGGGCGGGGCCGGGGAGGGAGCGAGGGGCCGGGCGGGGGCGGGGCCGGGGAGGGAGCGAGGGGCCGGGCGGGGGCGGGGAGGGAGCGAGGGGCCGGGCGGGGCGGGGAGGGACCGAGGGGCGGGGCGGGGCCGGGGCCGGCGGGGGCGGGGAGGGAGCGAGGGGCGGGGCGGGGGCGGGGCCGGGGAGGGAGCGAGGGGCCGGGCGGGGGCGGGGCCGGGGAGGGAGCGAGGGGCCGGGCGGGGGCGGGAGGGAGCGAGGGGCCGGGCGGGGGCGGGGCCGGGGAGGGAGCGAGGGGCCGGGCGGGGGCGGGGAGGGACCGAGGGGCGGGGCGGGGGCGGGGCCGGGGAGGGAGCGAGGGGCGGGGCGGGGCCGGGGAGGGAGCGAGGGGCGGGGCGGGGCGGGGCGGGGCGGGGCGGGGCCGGGCGCCCCGGCGCAGACCCCGCCGGCGGCCCCGCGGGTCCCCCTGGCTCCCGCACACGCACCGGGAGGGAGGCTCGCGGCCCTGTGGTTCGGCCGGCGGGCGCGGAAGGCCCGCAGGGGAGGCCCACCCGCGGCGAGGAGCCCCGCTCGGCGGCTGCGCTGGGGGCCCGGGGCGGGCGGGGGTGCGGCCGCCTCTGGCCCCTCCCGGGCGCGTGGGCACCGTCCGGGCTCCCGGGGCAGCTCCTCGACGCGGAGCCCGCGAAGGGCTGCGCCGCCTCCCGCGCCCGGCCGCCCCGGGCCGGCGCGTCCTGGTCTGGCTTCCCGCCTCCCCGCGCGAGGCCTGGCTCGGGCCGCACCCGGAGGGGCGGTCGGGGGACGCCGGCTCCCGAGCCCGCCGCGGGCGTGGGGCGCCGTCCTGGGCCGCCCGGGGCCGGGGGAGCAGGCTCGTGGGACACAGGGGAGGGGCGCGGGGGCCGGTTCGCAGGAGCTGCCCCGCCCGCGGCCGCCAGCCGGACCCGGGGCTGCGCCCCCCTGGCCTCCGGGGCTTGTGGGCAGGAGCGGGCCGGGCCGGGCCGGGCCGCCGAGACGCCGCCTCGGGCCGCTTCTGGCCGCGCGGTGTCGCCCGGGCCGCGACGGCGCCGCGTCCGCTTCCAGGGCCGGCTCGGGCGCAGGGGCCACCAGTTGCCTTCGCTGCAAAGGCCGCGCCGCCGCCGCGCTCCGGCCGCTCCTGCCCCGGCGCGGTGCTCGCCGCTCGGCCGGGCCGCGGGCCCGCGGGGGTCCGGGCCTGGGTGTGCGCGCGAGGGCACGGGGCCCCCGAGGGCTCGGGGGACCCCAGCGCACACCCCATTTCGCAGAAACGCGCGTGGGAACAGGCGCGGGCGGCCTGGCGTCCGCCTCTGCCCTGGACCCCTGCAGGGAGGGGACCGCGCCTGGCCTGGGGCGGGCGGGCGGCCGGCGGCCTGCTTCGGGCGTGTCCGAAAGCCCGGGCCGGGGTCTCGCGCTGGTGCCGGCGCGGGGACACACGGCCGCGGAAGGACGCGCTCACGCGGGCGGCGGCGGACACAGGCCCAGCGGCCACGCCCTCCCGCCCGCCCCGGCCCCGGCCCCGGCCCGCTCTGCCCGCTTCCCGCTGGCTGTGGCGTCCAGCGGCAGCGGCCCGGCTCCGGCTCCCGGGGCACGGCACCCCGCTGGAGGCCCCGTCAGCCGGGAGCCGGCCCTGCGGGCGGGCCCAGAGGGGACAGGGGCTGCGAGGACTCCCAGCTGCAGGCGCAGCCCCCGCGGGCCCCGGGCAGCGGCCTCCGGAGCGTCCGCGGGAGAGGCCCGGGCAGCGCCCGTCCCGCGGCTCCAGAGCCCGGCGCAGGGCGGCGGCCCTCCCGGGCGCCCCGCACAGGGACCGGCCACGGACGCCCGGACAGATCACGCCGGGGCGGGCCGGGCGCGCGGGCCGGGGCGGGGTCCAGGCGGCCGGGCGGCCCGCGCAGGGCGGAGCCGCGAGGGAGGGGCTGCCGCGGGCGGGGTCGAGGCCCCGGCTCTTCAGGGACGGTCCGGGCGCTCCCCAAGGCCCGTGCACCCCGACCCCTACGCAGGCAGCGGCCGCCCCCAGCCTGGGGCCAGAGGCCCGTGGCCTCCAGTGCCGCGTCCAGCCCGTCCCCACAGCGTCCGCGGCGCCCAGGCGCAGGACGGGCCGCCCGCGCGGAGGCCGTGTCCAGAGCGCCCCGCCCGCCCAGGACCGCACCGGGCCCGCGGTGCGCACGCGCAAGGCCCCGCCCCGCCCGCTCGGGCCCGCCCTTCTCCCCGCCCCGCCCCACCCAGTCGGCCCCGCCCCTGCCCGCTCGGGCCCGCCCTTCTCCCCGGCCCCGCCCCACCCAGTCGGCCCCGCCCCTGCCGGCCCCGCCCCCGCCCGCTCGGGCCCGCCCTTCTCCCCGGCCCCGCCCCACCCAGTCGGCCCCGCCCCTGCCGGCCCCGCCCCGCCCGCTCGGGCCCGCCCTTCTCCCCGGCCCGCCCCACCCAGTCGGCCCCGCCCCTGCCGGCCCCGCCCCCGCCCGCTCGGGCCCGCCCTTCTCCCCGCCCCGCCCGCCAGGGGAGGCCGGGCGCGCCCGCGCGTTGCCGTGGCTACCGCGACGCGCTGGTGGGGCCGGGCGGGCGCGCTTCCGGGGCGGGCCGCGCCGCCGGAAGTGCGTGGCCGCGGGCCATGGCGGCGCTCGGCGTCCTGTGCCTGCTGCTCGGGGCGGCGGCCGGGCCGCGGGCGGCGGCCTCGGGCGAGGAGTTCTGGCCCGGCCAGTCGGCGGCCGACATCCTGGCGGGGGCGGCGTCGCGCCGGCGGTGAGCGCGCCGGGCGGCCGGGCCCGTCTGGCTCCGCGGCCGGGCTGGGGCGGGCGGCCCGGCGGGAGCGCGGCCGGCGCGGGCCCGGGTGCGCCTGGCCGCCCGCGGCCTCCGCAGCTTCGAGCGAGCGAGGCCGCGCCGGGGCTGCCCGCCTGCGGGCGCGGGGAGGCCCCTCGGGGCGGGTCTCCGCCGGCGGGGGTCCTCGGCCGGCCGCGGAGGCTCCCCAGGCCCCGGGGCGGCGACAGCCCCCGCCCGGCACCCCGCGGGGGCCGCGGAGACCACCGGGCCCCCCGCGCCTGCCGGGCGGCCCCTCGCCCGGAGGCGCCGCGAGGACGTCAGCGCCCGCCGTGGCTCCCGCGCGGCCGACTCGCGCCCCCAGACTGTGCCCGGCGGGCGCCGCGCCCCTCGGGGCTGCGCGCGGAGGGACCCCCCAGCCGAGCCGCCGGGCCGCCGCCCTGGCCCGGCTGCGCCCTGCGTCTGGCCGCGCGGGCCGGGCTCGGGCCTGGGCGGCGCTGCCTCTGCCCACAGCCGGGGCTGCGGCCGGTGCCCGCGGCGGGTCCGTGCCGGCCCTGGGACCGCCCTGCTCTCCCGCAGGTACCTCCTGTACGACGTCAACCCGCCCGAGGGCTTCAACCTGCGGCGGGACGTGTATGTCCGCGTGGCTTCCCTCCTGAAGACGCTGCTCAAGACCGAGGCGTGGGCGCTGGTGCTGCCCCCCTGGGGCCGCCTCTACCACTGGCAGAGCCCCGACCTCCAGCAGGTCCGCATCCCCTGGGCTGAGTTCTTCGACCTCCCCAGCCTGGAGCGCAACATCCCGGTGCTGGAGTACGAGCAGTTCATCGCGGGTGAGCCCCGGCGCCTGCGCCCAGGGGGCCACACCCCGCCGCCCTGGGGGCTCTCCCTGCAGGGCATTTGTGCCGCCTGTGCTGCGGCTGCCCCCACGCACCGCTGCTGCCCAGCCGTATCCTGGCCAGACTCCTGTGCCCAGAGCCTGTTCCTCCCAGCGCGGCCTGCAGGCATGGCCCTGCGTCTTCCCACACCCGGCCTGGCGGGGCCTGTGGCAGGTGGGAGAGGAGCCGTGGGTTTCTTCACAGCTGCTTTGTCTTAACAGACAACGTGGGCACCCACCTTGACACCCCTTTGGAGGGGCTGTTTCTGGGAGTCCCAAACTTGTGACGAGGCCTGCTGGCACCTCCCCGGAGGAGCACAGGCTCCCGTCTTCCAAGACACCGTCGTCCTGGCTCCTCAGCCTTGTGCCCACTGGGTGGGGCACACGTCCACAGTGGAGCCAAGGGTGGAGCGGCCACCCTGACTCAGCCTACCAAGCTACTGCCCCTTCCCCATGGGCAGCCCAAGCTCTGAGCCGGTGGCACTAGGGGCATCAGCCTGGGGACATGTGTCCTGCAGCTGGAGCGGGGGGACTCCCTTGGGGTGCCTGCCCTGGACAGGCCGCCAGGATTGGGGGTGCCCACTCACTGTCCCCCACACAAGGGCCCCTAGAGGTGCCAACCGAATGCCCTCACGGTACAGGCAAGCCTGCAGAAGACAGGCCAGGCGGGCACTGGTGCTGAGGCCCCGAGGAGGGCGCACAGGCGTGCTCAGCATGGGGGGACAGTGTGGGCCGGCGCCAGCGTGAAGCCGGCTATGCCGAGTGGGCACAGATGGGCAGGCAGGAGGGTGAAAGGTCAGGAGAGGAGCCCCCACCATGCTGGGGCCCCTACCGCGTTGGCAGCTTTCTTCCATCCTGCCTGCTTTAGCCGGCAAGTCCCTCCTTTTGGGGAAGGAGGCGGCGCCCCAGGAAGAGGGGTCCCATGGGTGCCTGCAGCCCTGGGGACGCGCTGGGCGCAGTGCTGAGCCCCCGCGGTCTTTTCCAGAGTCCGGCGGGCCCTTCATCGACCAGGTGTACGTCCTGCAGGGCTACGCCGAGGGCTGGAAGGAGGGGAGCTGGGAGGAGAAGGTGGACGCGCGGCCCTGCATCGACGCGCTGCTGTACACGCAGGACAAGCACGAGTACTACAGGTGGGCCGCGGCCCCTCGCGCCCCCGCCCCCCGCAGGCCCCTCACCGCCCGGCCGGGAGGTGGCTGCCTGCGGCCTGCACGGGGCCTCCCTGCGTGGCCGCCCTCGCCCACCGCTTGACCACCAGCGTCCATCCGCAGAGTGGCAGGGCGGCCGGAGACCCCCTCCTGGGAGCCGGTGGCCTGAGGAGCCGCCCGTCCCCGCGCCCACGCCAGGGGTGTCCCCGCCACGGGAAGGGCCTCGGGCATGTGCCGCACTCATGGCCGCCCCCCGTGTTGCAGAGGATGGTTCTGGGGCTACGCAGAGACCCGGGGGCTGAACGTGTCCTGCCTGTCCGTGCAGGGCTCCGCGTCCATCATGGCGCCCGTGCTCCTGAGGAACACGTCTGCCCGGTGAGAGCCCCGAGCCCGCGTCCTGCACGACGCCCTACACGCCCCTCCCCCCTGCCCCCCACGAGGGCCAGAGATACACGGCGGGGCCCCGGGGCCACCCCTGGACGCCAGTCTGACCCCAGCGGGGTCACCTGAGTCCCGTCCTGGCCCGTCTGAGGTGACGGCACAGGGCCCCAGGGGACGCATGGTGTCCCCGCTGGGCTGGCGCGGGGGCTCTGTGGTGGAGGGGGCTGGTGCGGGGGCACGCGCTGGCGGCGTGGTCGGTCCAGGGGTGTGCGCCTGCCTGTCCTGCGGTCAGGGCCGGTGCTGCCCCTCTCAGAAACTCTGTCTCGTGTTCTTCCTCTCCTGAGGGGCGTGGCCGGCAGGGCGGGCGGGGTGTGGGTGCCCCACCCCAGGGCGCAGGCTGGGCGTGTCTGGGTGGCGTCCCCAGTGGGCCTGCTCCGGGGGTCCAGCAGCGTGGAGACCCTGACCCGGAGACCAGGGCCGGGGGCCGGGCAGCCTTTTCCGAGTGGCCGAGGTGGCCCCTGGATGCCCACGCGGGGCAGGATCCGGCGCTGAGGCCCCGTGTGCTGACAGGTCCGTGATGCTGGACAGAGCCGAGAACCTGCTGCACGACCACTACGGGGGCAAGGAGTACTGGGACGTGAGTGCGGGGGGGGCACCCCACGGCTGTCCTGGAAACACCGCGGCAGTGGCCGTCCCGTCGCCTGCCCGCACGGGGGCTCCCGGGGCGCTGCTGGGGGCGGCATGGCGGGCATCGGTCAGGCCCGGGCAGCCCGGCGTCCCCGCCACGGCCCTCCCCACGGCCTCCTCCTGGCCTCGGCTGGGCAGACGGGCTCAGGCCGCTCTGCCCGCAGACCCGCCGCAGCATGGTGCTGGCCCGGCACCTGCGGGCCGCCGGGGACGCCTTCCGGAGCCGGTACCTCAACTCCACGGACGCCGCAGACGGGATCCCCTTTGAGGAGGACTGGACCCGCATGAAGGTGGGGGTGGGCTCGGTCACCCAGACGCTGCCCAAGCTGGCCACGCCCCTCAGCTGCACCCGCCGGGACCCACTGCCCCCCACCGCCCTTGCAGGTCCAGCCTGGCTCCTCGCGGGGCGGCCCGTACCTCGGCGTCCACCTGAGGAGGAAAGACTTCATCTGGGGCCACAGGAAGGACGTGCCCAGCCTGGCTGGCGCCGCACGCCAGATCCGCAGCCTCCTGCAGGCCCACGGACTGGACAAGGTGTTCGTGGCCACGGACGCTGTCAGGACGGGTAGGCGCCCCCCCCCCCCACCCCCCGGCTGGCCTGGGTGCCCGCGGTCACCCGCGCAGCCACCCACCCACAGCTGCTGCCCACAGAGCAGGAGGAGCTGCGGCGGCTGCTGCCCGAGATGGTGCGCTTCGAGCCGGGCCACGCGGAGCTGGCGCTGTACGGGGATGGCGGCGTGGCCATCGTGGACCAGTGGGTCTGTGCCCACGCCAGGTACGCACCCCGGCTCCCGGGGCACCGGCAGGGTGGGACAGCCACCCAGAGGGTGATCCCTCTCCAAATTCCGCACGCGGTCACTGTGATGGAGCCGCTTCTGCGGGGCTGGGGCGCCCCCAGCAGGGGGCACAGATCACTCTCAGCTCCGCTCTGCCACGTGGCGGCCCTGCAGGCCAGGCCTCAGAGGTCAGGATGGAGACTGGGGCTCTGCGGGCCGCCTGTCTCCCGCCTTGGTGGTGCCCGACCTTTGGTAGGGGGTCCTGCCCGGCCAAGGGCGAGCAGAGCCTGGTCTGCCCATGCAGGGCCTGGCTGCCCGGCCCCTAGTCTGGTCTCCCGCTGGCTCGGGCATGGAGAGTGGGGGCGCCTGCTGCCACCAAGTGCCCCCCTCATGGCAACTCTAAACCCATAGGGTCCTGGCGATTCCCTGTTGTAGATGGGGGGCGGGGGCCTCTGCACAGCTGGTCTCTGACCCGAGCCTGCCAGCCTGGCTGCTCCTACGCCTGATCCCCTCTCAGGGCGGCTGCCAGGTGCTGCTCCAGGGCCTCCTCGCCGGCCACCCTCTGGTGGTGCCGCCTGGGGGTAGGGGCTGAGCTGGGCCGGGCAGGGGCCCCTGGCCCTTCCGGTGTGGTCTGAGGACCTGCCCCCAGCGCCCCCATGAGGCCCGGACTGTCCCTGCGCTGGCAGCAGCAGGGGATGAGCTGGTGGGGCTGGGCCCCAGCATGTGTCTGGCCGCACAGTGACCGCCTGACCCGGCAGGTTCTTCATCGGCACCTCGGTCTCCACGTTTTCTTTCCGGATTCACGAGGAGAGAGAAATCCTGGGGTTGGACCCCAAGACCACGTACAACCGCCTGTGTGGCGACCAGGAGGAGGACTGCGAGCAGCCCACGCGCTGGAGGGTCGTGTACTGAGGTGTGGGGCGCACGAGCCTGGGCCAGGCCGTGGGCCAGGCAGTGGTTTCTGTCGGGTTTGTAGCTGTAGGCGCCAGGCGGTTTTCGGGGCTTCCCAAGGTTCGGCGTGCTGGACAGCGGCGGGGCCGTGCGGGGCAGCACCTGTGCCATCCGGGGCCCTCTGCTCCCATGCCCGTGGCCACGGAGCCCGGCCTGGGGCCTGCTCAGGGCCACATGCCTGCGTTGGGTCAGGGCCGGAGTCCGGGCGGGCCGGCGTGCTGTTGGGAGAGGCCACGCTCCCGGCCGCCCCATGAAGCCGGTCCTGGACACAGCAGGGCCCTGCCACGGGGCCCAGCACGCACGTCCCACTGGCCTGGGACAGCGCCCGAGTGGCGGAGCTGACCCAAGGGCCGCGGGCAACAGACCGGCGCCGCCTCCGCAGTGGGCCCTGAGCGTGGGTGGGGCCAGGATCAGTTCTCCCTTTGTAACTCAGACGCAGTCAATAAATTTTATAGAAAACTGGAACCTGCCGGCCTGTGTCCTCCTTGAGCTGCCTGGCGTAGGGCACCGCCGCCTGCCTGGTGCCCAGCCCTCAGAGCCACAGCCGCCACAGGGACACTGAGGGGTGGGGAGCCGGATGGGGGGCAGCAGGGGGTGAGCTGCAGGCTGCCGGGGCCCAGGGGTCTGCAGGCAGCACAGGCAGAGGCGGGGAGGCTGCCCGCTGGGGCGTCTGAGCGAGATGGGCCCTGGCAGGGTGCTCTGGCACGGCTGCAGTCGGCTCGGGGTCCAGCTGCAGGCAGGGCTGTGTGACCACTTGCTGACGGTCCGGCTGGGGCCGCGATCCTTGCCCAGCACAGCGCGGAGAACAGGTGGGGCCCGACACCCAGCCGCGGGCCCAGCCTCAGGAATGTCGTGCGGAAGGCCGCGCCCACCAACCTCCCGCGGCCGCTGGACTTCAGAGCAGAGCGGGAGTCGGGAGGCTGGCCTTGGGGGTGGCCAGCACCACCATGGGCCCAGCCTGGGGGAGCACCGGGGGCTGCGGGGGAGCCCTGGGGGGCTCTGCTTGGCTCCCCGAGGGTCAGTGGAGGCACCCGGGTCCCCCGCGTCCCTCTAGTCCCACTCACTTGGACCGAGGTCCCCGAGTGTCACTGTGTGAGGGGCCCGTCTGTGAGGGCCCCCAAACCTCAGGGCTCCTGGAGTCCTATGCTCTCGTGGCGGCCTCTGCGGGCAGCACTGGTCCCCGAGAAGACCCCATGTTGGACTGGCACTGGAGGCTTTCCCTGTGCCCGCAGAGTTCCTCCCTGCTGGCTGCTGGACCCGGACACAGGGATCCTGACTAGCACCCCCACCCCGCCCTGCTCAGCCTCTGCTACTGAATCTTGTGGAAACACAGGGGGACCCTCCGTCAGACTCCTGGACGTCACGGACTCGGGGCTTCTGCTGCGGCTGCTGCGGGACTGCAGGCCACCCCGGAGGTCACAGAGCTGCGAGGCAGCAGGGAGGTCGAGGCGGGAGGCCGGGCCTGGGGACACAGCCAGGTGTAATTGCTGCCAGCGCTGGCCTGGACACACGGGGGCGGGGGAGGTGCCCCCAAGTCCCTGACACACCACGCTTCCGGCTCGGGGCGCGGTGACTCCCAGCAAGGAGCCGCCTGTGCTGTGCGGGGCACGGCCAGGAGGGGGCGCTTGTTCCAGGCCCAGCCTGCGCTGCGTCCCGGGGCTCCGGGCACCGGGGGCTCCTCCCAGGCGGGCGCAGAGGTGGCCTGGGCCCAAGGGTCCCGCAGGAGCAGGACAGCCACGGCCGGGCTGTGGCAGCTGCGTGTGGAACCCCTGCCCCCAACGGCTGCTCCGCTCCCGCAGCCGAGCCTCAGCGGAGCGGACGCCAGGCTGCCTGGTGCTCGGAGGCGGACAACCCCCTCGCTCAGCCAGGGCGGCCGCCTTCAGGCACAGCTGGATCCAGACACCTGGGTGGCGTGGTGGGGTCTGGTCCGTGCCCCCCTCTGCTCCGCTGTCTCCTGGGGACCCCTGTTCTCGTGCGCCATGAGTCCTCGCACACACGTGAGTCACGCCCACCGGGGCCCCACGCGGGCACACCCAGCTGCCATGCAAAGTGGCAACAGGAGAAGTGGCTGAGTTTCCGAGTTCCCGTGGGCCCGGAGGGTTGTGTCTGGCCCAGAGCCCACCAGGTGCCTGGCCCCAACCTCCGCCTGGGCATCCGGGGAGCCACCTCACCACCACCGCCTCCCTCCCTCATGCACCCCCCCCCCGCCACACCTAAGTTCTTGCTCTCCCCCCACCGCGGCCCCTTGGCCTGGGAGCTGCGAGAACCTACTTGGGGACCTGGCAAGTGGTCTCGGGTGGGGAGGCAGGACAGCAGCCCGCGGGCCTTGGCTGGCGCTCCTGCCTCTGCCCACCCGCTGCCCAGGCCCCCCGCCCGACGCGGCGCAGCCTCCTCGGTGAGCCCTGCCTCATTTCTCGCTTGGCCCTGCCTTGGGTGGCCGCATGCAGCCTGTGTGTGGTGGGCACTACCAGGACCTGTGGTGCCGACCCGGTCCCTAAACAAGCAGGAGGAAAGCTCTGCACCCACCCCCCCAACCAAGGTCCCAGCCATCTCTGGACAGACCCACGTCACCCCAGGGCATGCAGGACCCTCTCACATGGTGGCGCCGGCTGGTGTCTGGCCCTGCCTGGCTGTGGCCGCCTGAGTGGGGAGAACAGGAGGTAACCCCGGCCCAAGCCAGGCCCTGAGCAGCCTCTTCCGCTTGTCCCTGAGGGTCAGCGGCCGCTGGGCCCGCTATGCCACACCCCGTGACCGCCCAGCCCCAGGGCCGCTCTGCAAGCAGGATGGGCAGCGCCGGCCACGGCACTTGGGACCCCACACAGGGTGGCCGCGCGCACCCAGGAGTGTGGGGTCCCTGGGGCCCAAGGGTGAAGACATGGCGGCGTCCTCCAGGAAATGCCGCCCGCCCCCTCCCGGCCCACCTCAGTGTTTGAATGTGCCTTGTTACCTCCGTCCTTAGGATGACCACGGGTTCGTACAAAGTGACTTTAAACAGGGCGTCCCGCCGGCTCCCCAGGTCCCGGAGCTTCACCCCCGGCCCAGCGCGGGCGAGGACGGCCCCGCCCTCCCCAGCACCCCCCCACCTGGGACGCTGGCACAGACCATGCGGGCGGCCAGGCCTGACCCCGGTGACGGCAGCGAACGAGGGGTGCCCCAGGAGCCGTTCCCCCGTGGACTCCTGAGGGGGTCGCCCCGACTTTCTCCTGAGGCTTGTCTTTTCTTCATGCAACATATTTTCACTTGCATTAAAAACGTTGCTTTTAATGTGGAAAAAGAAAGAACAGATGCAAAACCGATGGTGATGGTGACGATGACTCGCGTGCAGCCTGCAGGGTTCCTGCCGCAGCTGCGCCCTCTCAGACAGCCCCTCTCGCCCCATGCCGCGCCCACGCCACACAGAAGGGGAAGATTCACGAGGCAAAGGTGATGTGAGGCTCCCGGGGGGCTGGGCTGCCCCCCACACCCGCCAGCTCCCGGCGGCCTCACGGGGCTCCTCCGTGCCCTGCGGGCTGTCCACTCCGCCCACACGGGGGCGCTCTGCACCCCAGGAAGCCGAGAGCCCAAGTGGGCAGCGCTTGTGCGCCCCGTTTCCACCGATGGGCAGGCCACGGCCGAGTCACCTTCACACAGTGTCCACCTCTGCCGCCCCAGAGGCCTGACCCCCTGCAGCAGCTCGGGCTCCTGGGAGCCGTCGGCACACCCGGCCGAGACCAGCCCCGGCGCGAGCCCGACCCCACGGAGCTCGGCCCACGGGACCGGGCGCAGCACAGGCTCGGCGGGACCCGGCGCCACCACAGCGACCTCGGCCGCTGGGCAGGCTGAGGGACCAGGGGCCCTCCATCCACTCCCAGGGAAGGGCCTGCTCCAGGCTCCGCACAGCTCCAAGGAATTATTTGGATAAAAATAAACTCCAGCGAAATCGACGCCTCTGAGACGCGGACTCGTGCCTCTGGAAATGAAGCGCCCGGGTGTGGTCCCCACGGAACGTGAGGGTCGACGGAGCGAAGCGAGGCTGAGGGTCACACGCGGGTCCTGTCCCCCCAGGGTCCTGTGCCGGCCACAGCACGGGGGAGCCCCAGGCGGCCGCGGACGACTGGCCCCGCGGGACGGACACTACAGGCTCAGCAAACAAAACGGGGTGGCCTGCTGGCCCCGGGGTGGCCGGCTCAGCGCCCCTGTGGCCTGGCGGGACAGCTGGCGCGGGCAGGAGGGGCCGCCAGCTCGGGCCGCGCACAGGGGCCCTCGTGGGTGCGCGGGAATCGACGTCCTCCGGGCTCTGCCATCGAAGTCCATGTTTCTAAAAACTCAGTCCCTCTCCCGACCCCCACGAGAGCAAACACCAGCGCGGGGGCGCGAGGCCACTCCTTTGGAGCCGCGGGGCTCTCTCCGCACCAGGCCCCAGGCAGGGCCACCGCCCCAGTGGTCAGTGCGAGGACCGGAGGAGCTACCGGGGCCAGGCCACGGCATGCGGCACACAGGGGCCGGTAGGGCTCGCTCTGAGCCTGGGCCTGGGTCCAGGAGGAGCCGCTGCCCCCGTGCCCGCCCACGCAGGAAGCCTCCAGGAGCCAAGGCTACGGGCTAGAGGGTGCCCAGGCCGAGGGGCGCAGCCTGAGTGTTAGGGGGCGGGATAGCAGCCGCGTGCGGGGGCGGGATAGCCCGGGCTGGGGGGCGCACGGGGGGGGGGGTGTGCACAGACAGCCCCCACCTGTGTTTTCCATCTAGAAATATTCTCTTGCGGAGGCGCTAACGTGGCTACAGGCCTGACGTGGTTTCCTCTCGTTTCACAAACGACATCCCTAGCTCAGAATAAATTATTTATTCGAGGGTTTCACACAAAGTCTACTTTGCTAACGCGAGGAAGCCCTACTCAGTAGAACTCGGTTTCTAGACGTGAACTGAGGCTGGAAGCAGCTGCTGCTAATTCGGGGGCTGCAGCCGCAGAGAGCGAGGCCCCGCGGCACCCCAGCCCCCTTCGGCGGGAGCCCTCGACATGCCCGGCCCAGCGAGAAGTCCTGGTGGCCCATCAGGGCGTCGGGGCGAACTGGTCCTGCTCGTTGGGCTTCTCCACCCAGGCGCCCAGCCCCGCCTTGATGAAGGCCCTGAACAGGCAGGCCTTGGCCGCCTGGTACTCGCGGGCCACCAGCTTGGACTCGTGGTACAGGTGCGGCTTGGCGATCTTGGAGCGCTGCAGGTGGGCGGGGACCTGAGCGGGCAAGAGCAGGCAGAGTCGGCGCCGGCTTGGGCGAGGCGCTCCCTCCCCACAGCAGAGGGGCCCGGCCTGCGTGCGGCCGGGGAAGGGCTGGGTGGGCTTGAGCCTCCCGGCAGGGGCGACACACATGGGGTGAGGGGGCCCGAGGCCGCGGGGCGTGTGACCTCTGGAGCGGCGCCGTCAGGGCCCGTTGCCCTGCCGAGCCCGCCCGCCCGCCGCCCGGTCGGCCCCCACGCGTGGCGCGGTCAGCGCCGGCTGCAGCCAGGAAAGGCCTTAAACCTGCCCCAGGGGAGCGCCGCCTGGAGCACGGCGCCGCCGCGAGAGGTCACTGTCGGGAAAGGCCCGCGGCGGCCGCACAGCAGAGGCCCGGCAGCCTCCTGGGGTTGGTGGCGCCGGCCGGGAGGCGGGGGCAGCATCCCCTCGGCGGCCCTCCCGTCCAGGGGTCCCAGCGGGGCGGCGGCGGGGGCTGCCCGAGACCCGGGCGGGGCCTCAGTACCTTGCCGTGCACACGCATCCAGCGACAGTACAACGCGTGCTTACACAGGCGGGAGGCTCGGCCCAGCTCGTCCTTCCCCGTCGTGGCATTGATGACCTCGATGGCCGAGTCGCCCACCGTCCAGTTGACGCTGAAGTTGGGCGCCTTCCCCGGCTGCCGCGCCTCGGCGTTGCTGATGCCTGGAAAGGAGCGGGCGGGTGACCCGGGGCTGCTGTGGGGCCGCAACCAGCCCCGGGGTCAGGCGTCCGTCGGGCCGAGGCAGAGGCCCTGTCAGAGCGCCCGGCGGTCCGGAGCTCACGCCGCTCCCTGCCAGCACGCAGCCCCCCTCCTGGCCCTCAGCGCCCGCGAGCCCCACGCCCTCCGGGGAGAGCTCTGCCTGCTCCGAACGGACACCTGGTGACACCCGGTGACGCCCGAGTCATGGCGCACAGGGTGCGGGGACTCCTGGCGCCCGCAGAAGGGACTGGTGGGGCCTGACGACACGCCCAGACCAGGAGGCTGCAGCCCCGCGCCGTCCCTGCCCCCTCAGCGCCCCTGGGCCGTCGCGCTCACACCTTAACTGCAGCTCCGGGGTAAAGAGGGGGCTCCTGGGGGCTGGGCTCAGCGCACCTGCCCGGCTGGGGGGCATGTGGCCTGTGTGGGGTGAGTGGGGGTCAGGCCTTTGTGCCCTTGGTCTCTGTGGCCATCACCTGCGGCCTGGAATGCAGGGGGCGCTGGGGAGCTGGGCGCAGGCAGGGGCCTGACTGTGGACACCTGGAGCATGGGTGGGCCTGGGGCTGAGGCTCTAGGGGCATCAGGGCACGGGGGATGTGGGGGGGCAGAACAGCCAGGAGAGGAGACCGGGAGAGGCCCGGAGCCAGGGAGAGTGGAGAGTCGCCGCCCTGTGCCTGGCGGCCTCAGGGCGAGTGGCGCAGAAACATCACTGCCGCCTGGAAAAGCCTCCCCTGCTGCTCTACGTCCCAGCCCCTCCGGCTCCCGCACCACACAGAGACCGCCTGCCAGGGGGCACAGCAGCACCCGAGGCCGGGCCTGCAACTGAAAACAAGAAAAAGGGAGCCTGTTTTCCTTCTTAAGGTTTACGCCCTTGCTAAGCACACCCCCTCCGAGCCCTTGCTAAACGCACTCCTGACCCTGAGCTAGAGAAGGGCGGGCGCAGAGTTCGGAGCAGCCGGTCATGAAGGCAAAGGGCAAGCTGCCTGCCCCGACCAGCGCCCGCTCTGCCCGCCCCCCCAGCTCCCACCCACCATCTCCCCTCCTGGTCTCTGGGGCCGGCCAGCGGGCAGTTCTGTGGTGCCCTCCCTAAGAATCACGACACCCTAACTTCCAAGCCCTGAGGCTGTGCCTCCCATCAAGACCCTTCCAGCTGCTCAGATGTGGAGCCTCTGCACCGAGGGGCCCGGGCAGCAGCCACGTCAGTAGCACCAAGGAGGGACCCATGCCGAGGTCCTCTACTACTCAGGGTCCAATGCGCCCTCCGGCCAGCCCCGCGGGTGAAGACCAGGCCCGCTGGCCCAGGAGGAGCGCCAGAACCAGCAGGAGGTGCCCGAGGTCCCAGGGTAGGGCTGCTGGGGGCCACTCAGCGTCCAGGGGCTGAGAAGCCCAGAGCCAGGAGCCCAAAGGCAGGAGGAGGGGGAGACACCCTCCACCAGGGAGGCAGGAAAGGGGTGACCCCCTCCGCCCACCTCCACCGGGCAGGCGGTGGCCTCCTGGACTGGCCCCGGCCTCCTGGACCGGCCCCCGCGCCCCGGCTGTGCCCTCGCACTCTCCACTCGGCACCTGCGCCCCGCGACTCCGGAGAGTCCCGGATGTCCCAACCCCGAGGGCCTCGTGGCTGCCCCCACCGGCCTCAGCTCCGGGTGACTGTGCTCCCCAGGGGGCCGTTGCTGACATCCTCGCCTGTCCTCATGTAACAGGGTGGTCCCCAGGAAAGGGGGAGGTTCCCTGTCCCGGGTGGGGCAGGGAACCTCCCCCTTTCCTGGGGACCACCCTGTTACACTCAGACTCGCTGCTGGAGCCTCCTGGCGGCCCCCAGCGCCTGCTCCCCCTGGGCCCCTCCCTGGAAAGGGCGACGCGGCGGGCGCAGACCTGAGTCCAGGGGCAGCCTGGCCAGAGAGCCCCGCCTGAGGGCCATGTCGGACTCCAGACAGGAGTCCAGCGTCAGCCGGGCCCCACCTGTGGAGACGATCAGGGGGCGCTGGCCACACGCGGCTGCCCCGGGAGGGCTGTCCTCTCGCTGGAGAGCTCCCGGCCAGGGCCTCCGCGCCTCGCGCCCCAGGACGCGCCCGCGGGGCACGCGGCAGTGTGTGGACGCCGGCCCGGCCGGCTCGCGGCAAGGGGTCCCCCGTGGGCGCGGGGCGCGGCACAGCTGCGGGAGGCGCTGGCCACAGGCCCCCCACGCCAGGCGCGGCTCCCGGGGGACCCTCAGACCCGGCCTCGCGGCGCGCGCGCAAAGCCAGACAATCCGCCACCCCCGGGCGCGGCCGTCCAGCGCGCAGCCCGGCCCGGCCCCCCAGCCCCTCGGGCGGGCTGCATGACAGGCGGATGCCACACCCGGACCCCGAGGCCCCAGGAGTGCAGGGCCAGGGCCGGGGCCGCGGCTGCGCAGGAGCCCCCACAGGGAAGGCGCTCCCCCCCCCCCCCCGGCCCCTCAAGTCAGGGGCGGCCCCCCCGCCGGGGCCCCAGAAAGCCGCAGAGGCGAGGCGGAGGCGGGACCGGGCCACGGTGCTCAGTCCCGGGGGCCAGCGGGCGAGGAGCCACCCGGGTCCTCGGGGGCAGCGAGGAGGGGACCCCAGGGGGGCCGGGCGCAGGGCGGGGGCCGTTCTCGCGCCGGGGGCGTTTCGCGGCTTCTGGAAGTTTCCAAGGCCCCAGACGGGGCAGGGCCGAGGGTGGGCTTCGCCACGACTGTTTAAACAGTTGCTTAAATACGTTTTTGAAATGAAAGGGCCCAGCGAGGCAAGATCTACGATCCCCAACGCCAGAGAGCGAGGCGGGCGGCGCTCCCTCGGCCCAGGGGACCCGGCGGGCGCACAGAACACATGGCCGCAGCGCCCGCCGCCGCGCCTGGCACACACGCACTCCCAGCGCCCGGGCACCCGCGCCCACTCTCCCGGGGCGCCCGCGCTCACTCTCCCTCACGGCCTGGCGACCTTGACACGGAGGCCAGCTTCCCGTCCCCGCGCCCGAGGCCGGCCCCCCAGCAGCAGGGCACTGGCCGCCGCAGCGCGAGGCGCCTCCTCAGGGAGCACCTGCCGGGGCGCCTGCGCTGGACAGGGCTGAGGTTGTGGAAGGCCTGTGCCCAGCCATGGCCAGGGCCCATGCATGTGGGGGGCGTGTCCAGGCATGTTGGGGCGTGTGCAGCTGGTCCAGGCGCGTGGGCTGTGTGCAGCCTTGCCCAGGGCGCCGGTGTGTGGGGCGTGCACAGATGTGGCCGTGGAAAAAACGCCTGCCCGCGGCAAGCCACACCCATGATTGCACTCTGACCGGTCGGCACTTGACAAGCGGTCAGCGCTGCGCTGGCCAGACGCAGAGGTGTCTGAAGCGGCTGCAGGACCCTGGGCCCTGGCCGCCAAGGGCTGAGACGCTGCCTGGAAGCTGATGGCTGGCGTGCCGGGGTCCCGAGCAGCTGCCGGCACTGGCTCTGCACTTGTAGATCCCCGCCCCGGTAGCATCCGGGGTCTCCCAGCACCCAATTCTGGGGAGAGCACCCCAGGGCCCAGCCCTCCCCCTCAGGCCAGGCTTGCCCTCCTCTGCTCCTGGGCCTCTCGAGGGCGGCGTTCGCCTGGGCCTTGGTGGTGGGCATGGTGCCCAATCTCTTTGCCCACCAGGGGGACGAGAGGTTGGGTGAATGGCCTCCACCACCTCAGCGCCGGGCCGGGGCTTCTGTGTCTCCACAGCGTGGCGAGAGGCTGGGCTCAGGGCAGTCCACTCAGGACGGCTGGGACACGGCGGGAAGCAGGCCTCACGTCCGGCGGGATGGCCCTTCTCTTGCTAAATTCTTTTCAAGGTGGGGCCGATGAACCCAGGGGTGACTTGAGACTAACAGGCCAAACTGGGGAACTTCGAGCCCCCGAGCCAGCTGCCTTGGTGGGCAACGTTAGAAAAACGTCCCAGAACCGAGCACAGCAGTCACGGCTGAAACCCCAAAAGGAGCCCAGCCCTGCCGGGTGAGCGGTGGCGGCACCGACCGCAGTGCTCGCCGCCCAGCCCGCGCGCTGCTGGGAGGACCACTCCAGGCGTCTTCCAGGCCGACGGCAGGCAAACCCCGCCAGCTGCCGGGCACGGTCACCACGTCCAGCCGCCGGAAAGACGGCGCGCGGGCAGTGGTCACGCTCACGTCCTGGGGTCAGTTTGCCAAAGTGCCCTCTCCTGGGGTGACGTGTCCCGAGAGGGGGGTGAGCTCGACCGTGAGCACCCCCTGGCTACCTGGGTCCTTCCACAGGCACCAGGCCAGCTCGTCTCCCCTGCCCCTCACCCCGTTGGAGCTCAGGGACCTGGGCATGCTGTCCCACGCTGTCTGTGGCCCCGGCGCCAGAGATCTCCACACAGGCCTGCCCGGGGCCGCGAGGCTGGCGAGGAGAGAAGGGCCTGTCTGCGGGCGCCGGTCGTGCAGGAGCGGGCAAGAAGACAGGCCTGGCGAGCGGGCGCCAGCAGCCGAGCCCGGGCAGGCTGGTGAGGACGCGGGGCCCGGCTGGCGCTTTGGGCGCAGAAGCGGAGCTGCGGGGGCGGTGCCCCTCCCGCCGGGCGGCTGTGCGCCCTGCTGGGTCGCCGTCCATGGAGGTCCAGCCTGGCCTCTCTCAGCTGCGTGGGGGCGGGGCTCCCCGGCACTTCCCGCTGCGCCGCCGCCTCCTGCCCCCCATTTCCTGTGGAGCGCCCAAAGCCTTTTGATATTGTTGACGCATTTCCAAACTCGAACCCCACTTTCTGACGGGGCCAGCGAGCCTCTCTGGGCCCCGTGCAGCCGCACAGACACACGCAGGCTCACCGAGGCGGCTCCCGCGCGTGCCTGACGGTCAGACGCCCTCCGTGCCGGGATTCTCCTGTCAACAGTCCGTGGGCACCGTGGCCGTCACAAGGCGCGTGCGCTCCAGCGGGACTGGGAGGGGCACGGCACCAGCCGGCCACGCCAGGGCGCAGGAGCAGCGCGCAGTGGGGTGCGCGGGCTGGCGCTGCCCGTGCTCCGGGTGTGGTCTGGAGGCTGGGGGGTCACGGCCGTGTGTGCCACCCCCTGTGGAGTGCCCAGGCCTCACGCCAAGCCAATGCCCCTGTCCTTGGTGCCGTGGAGGCCGTGGCCGGACGTCCTCCTGGAGGCCAGAGGCCACGGGAACCTGCTGGGGAGCCTCCCGCCGAGTCCTGACTGGCGTTGGGGTTTTAGTGACGTCCTCTTCAGTGCCGCAATGCCCGTGCTTGTTCCTGTCTCGGGGCAGAGCCCTGGCATTGCTCCTGCCCAGCAGCCGCCGCTGGAGGGGGCACGTCCTGGGCGCCCTGGTCACCGCGGCCAGCGCAGCCGGGTCACTCTCTTTGAGGAAACAACGAAATGGCGCGGCTTCCACTGTAAGGCCTCCCCGAGGGTGACTCGCCACGAGCTGCCCAGAGCGCACTGGGCCAGGTGGACAGGATTCAGCCACCTTTGAAGCTGCCCAACAGGGTCCAGAGGGGTCCGGCAGACTCCTGGCCTGTCCCTGCGGCAGGACGCTGCCAGTGAGGGAGCTGGCGGCTCGGCCCTGTGGCCACTCTGCCAAACACGGCTGCTGCTCTGGGCCCTGGGCCCTGGGCCAGAGGGGACACCCCAGCAGCGAGCACGTGGAGGAGACGGGGTACGTGTCCACTCACTGCATGGACAGCAGGCACGCCACCCTGAGACCCCCGAGCCAGAGGTGCACCCTGCGCACCCCTCCTGCGCTCCGCCAAGGGTGAGCCCCCCGCGCCCGAGCTCGACCCCGGGGGTCCGGACACTGTGTGCCCTGCAGACTGCAACACCGAGTGCGCTGGGCGCTGGTCACTCCGCCTTCCTCAGACGGAGATCTGGGAGCAAACGGTGGCCACCTGAGTCCGGAAAGCCCCAGGCCACGCAGGCGCGCACACAGCTGCCCACCTCGAGCATCGCGGGGTTTACTTAGAAGGCAGCGTTACGGTTAGGGGCTGGAGCCCCGCCCGCCCCCCGCCGGCGTGCTCCAGAACATGCGGCCCCGCGGCCGTCCTCCAGGCAAAGACGTGCCAGCAGTCAGCTCCCGAAACCAGGCACCGCACCCCAAAAACACACAGTTTAGTTCAAGGTTACGGTTTTAGTTCCGAGCACAAAACCAGAAAACGGGGCTTCCCAGAGGGCAGCTATACCTTCACCGTGTCCTTGCAAACTAGGCCGAGCTAGAAGCTACGGCCTGGCTTTCAAAGGCTCGTGCTCACTCTCTGTCGCCAAGAAACTCTAAAAGAAAGGTAGACAGCAGTGACGGGGGGACGGCGCCCGCTCCTCCAAGCCCAGCCCGCTGTGGGCGCTGCCTGCACCCTCTGCGGCTGTGCCGGGCAGGACTCCGGGCGCGGGGCGTGGGCCTGTGGGGGCACGAGGTGCCCGGGAAGAGCCGGCCGTGGGGCCTGGAGGAGCGCCCGCCCGCGGCCCCGGGGGCCCAGATACTTGCCGCTGAGCAGGGGCTTGTTGAGGGTGTAGAGGGGCGGCAGGCCCTCGATGCTGGAGATGCGCTGGTACATGGCGCGCGACAGGTGGTCGCCGTGGTAGAGGCTGCCCAGGATGATGCTGGAGAAGTAGATGGGCTCCACGAAGATGCTGAGCAGGGAGCCCTGCACGCCCACCACGTTCCACCTGCGGAGAGCGTGGCTGAGCAGCCCCGCCCCGCCCGGGCCGCCCCCGCCCCGCCCTGCCCCTCCCTGTCCCGCAGGGGTGCCCCTGGCTGAGACCAGGGCGTGTTTCCGTGGGAAGGTCAAGGGGGGCAGAGAACACTCCCCGTTGTGATGAAAGCGCTGGTCCCCGGGCCCAGAGAACCCCTGGGGCCCTGAGGCCGCACCCGTGCCGGTGGGCAGGCGGACGGATGGACAAAAAGGCAAACACGGGGCAGGGCGGACAAGAGGGAAAGGCAGCTTGGGGAGGGCAGGGTCCCCCAAAAGGCATCCCACTCCGGAGGCTCCCAGTGCGGGCCGTGGGGACGGGCAGGTGGGGCACCCCGGCCGGGGCTCAGCCAGTGGGGGGCAGGAGGCCCAGAGCCGCAGGCATGGGCGGGAGGCAGTGCAGGCCTGGAAGGAGCCCCGAATGGTGCTGCCAGGCCGTCCTGGGTGGCTTCTGGGCTCAGCTGGGGAGTCTGGGGGTCTGGGGTGCCAGCGGGAGGCCGGCCCTGCCCTCACTGCCCAGCTGCTCAGCCGCCTCGGCGGGAGGGTGCCTGCAGGGGCACAGGGTGACACGCGGGTGCAGCCCACTGGCGACATCAGACCCTCCCTCCGCTGGGGTGGAAGCGGGGTGCCCGCGCGTGGAGACGGGTGCGCAGGAATCTCTGTGCTTCTCGCAATCTCGCTGTGAACCTGAGCTGCTCGTAAAACCCTAATCTTAAATTGTTGATTTGTCCCCGGAAACCAGGAGGGGCATGCACACGCACACACCCAGGCACGCTCACGCACACGCCCATGCGCGCCCAGGCAGCACGGCCCGGCCCGGGGAGGACGGCGCGGCCCCTCCAGCGCGAGGCCCAGGAGGGCAGGTACTGTAGCCGCTCCTGGCCCCGGGACCCTGCCGCCCGCGACGCTGCTTCCTCCCGAGCAGCAACTCGCAGCGGCTGCGGCCTGTGCTGGCAGACACGTCCCTCAGGCAGGCAGATGGGCGTCGGCCGTGCCCACGCTGACCACCGGACAGGCGGGCTCTGCGGCACCGGACGCCCACGGCCAAGTCTGGCGTCAGTGCCACACGCCCGAGGCCGCGCTGCCGCCGCGAGGGCACTTGTTGTGTGGAGATCACATTAGCCGGCACCGCCCGCCACGCTCACGAGGGCTCGGGGCCAGGGAGCCTGCAGCCCCGCCTCCCCGCTGGGGCCAGGTCCTCGGAGAAGGCCGTGGAAGGGCGGCGCGGGTCTTACCGGGCCATCTTGTCGCTGCAGGACATGGTGAGCAGCCGCTCGCCCTGCAGCACGCCGTCCCAGGTCTGGATGCTGGCGTTGGAGCGCACCGGGATGGTGCCCTCCCCCGACTCGATCTTGGTCCGCAGCTGGCCCCTGGCTTTGCGGTTCGGGTGTCTGTCTGCGGGCTCTAGGGCGGCAGGAGGGGCCCATGGTGACGCCCGGGCCGCAGCAGTCCCGTGAGGGGTGGTGCCCCCCCAACCCAGACCCTGCCCCAGCCCTGCCTGAGCCCCGGGGCCCCTCCGCGTGGACGCAACTGCAAGGGTTAGGACCCGAGTTCAGGGAAGGGGCTTCCGGGGGCCTTGGGCCCGCTGCCCTCGCTCTGCTCCAATTACTTCGCTAGTGACAAGGGTCTCTGGGGGTTCCCGCCACACGGCCAGCTGGGAGCCCGGGGCTGCTCCGTGCGCCTGCCACACCCAGTCAGGGCCGACCCGGGGGACCCGGGCGTCGGCCTCCCGCAGCGCCGTGGACGCGGCCCTACCTTCCAGGATCGGCTCGTGCGGCGAGAAGATCCTGGCGTCCCCGCAGGGCGAGGTGCTGATGTACAGGTGGAACTGCACCGAGTCCTTCAGCCGGAAGCCCCCGCGCTCCGACTTCTGGAAGATGGACCGTTTCTGGTCGTCCTTGCTGCTGGAGGGAACAGGCGCACAGGGGAGCTGCAGGGCCGGACGCGGCCAGGCTGTCCTCGCGCTGCACGGGGACCCCACGGCAGGGGTGGTGGAACTGGGGAGCTCGGGTCACTGGACCAGACCCCAGCAGGTGGGACCCGATCCCGAGGGGGGACTTCGAAGCAGAGACCCGAGCTGGGAGCGGCTGTGGGGCCCCTCCCCACGGGGGCCGCCCTGCGGCACCACCTCACGCTGCGCCCGGCTGGGGGCCGGAAGGCGGCAGCCGACCTCACCGCGACCCAGAGATGCCATCTCGAGAGTTTCAAGAAAACCCACAGGAACTAGAGGGCGACGCCCCCGCCGCCCCCACCCCCCCGGCTGCCCCGCCCGCCGGCTCACTTGAGGTACAGCTCGAGCTGCGTGTACAGGAAGCGCAGCAGGGACCTGCGGGAGATGATCTCCGCGTGGCAGTCGTTGAGGGCCAGGCCGCGGTCACTCATGTACTCCCCGTTGATGCACTTGGTCCCCGTGGAGATGCTGATCACCTTGGCGTCCTTGACATCGGTGCCTGCAACACCAGAGCAAGGCTGACCGGTCCAGCCGGAGCACAGGCCGGCAGGGCGGCGCCAGGTGTGTCCCTCGCTCCTGCGTCCCCGCGGCTCAGGCGTGGGAGGTCATCCTGCCTGAGGCTGCTCTTGGGCGTCAGCCCCCGTGCGCATGGCTTCGAGCAGGTGACTGCATGGAGAACGCTGAGGTGAACATGCTCCCCAAGGGGCCTCCCGCGTCAGGTGGTCACAGTGGACAGGACACTGCAGCCTGCCCGCTCATGCCACCTGGAGCAGCTGCAGGCCAGCTTCAGGGTCGGCCCGAGACTGAGGCAGACTCGGCTTCCTGGGCCAGCCTGGCGGGGCAGCGGGCACCATCAGGGAGAGGACGCATGTGCCACTAGAAGGCCCCGTGGGGGTCGATGCCAGGCCCTACCACCTCCACCGAGGCAGCAGCACTGGAGGACTCGGGCATCTCTCCCGCTGGCCGGAGGGGACAGCCCAGGCCCCCAGCCTGCGCTCCAGCTGTCCAGCTGAGTGGGGTGGAGGCGCAGGACAGCCCAGGGCCTTGCCCTGCCCCTTGTGGGACAGCAGTCCCGGGTGGGGTGCTTCCTGCAGGCCAAGGGCAGCCCAGACACGGGCCACCGCCGCCTTCCCAGACGCTGCCTCCGGGGACTCAGCTCCTCTGGCATCCCCACACGGAGCTGCGGAGACGGATGCCGCCTGGGCTGCCAGCTACGCCCTGCGGCCAGTGAGAGAGCGTGGGCACAGCTGTGGATCACGGCGGGCGCCCCCACCGCAAAGCACCCCTGAGGGGAGCAGCCTGCGGCGCCCTCACCTGTGGTCATCACGACTCCGGCCAGGACTTTCCTGCGGGCGTGAGGGGAGGAGAAGTTGTCCGTCAGATCACCGAACTTTTCCAGAACCAGGCGGGCCACGGCATCTGCCAGCACCTGGGGACAGAGAGGTAAGCCGCTCACCTGCCCTCGCCCCACCACGCCCCCGTGAGCGCGGCCAGCCAGCATGTGCACGAGCCCACAGGGCACCCAGCGGGCTCCGCAGGCCACTGGACAGGGCTGAGCCCCCAGGCCAGGCCCCTGCCGCCTCCGACCAGGCCTGCCTGCCGTCCAGAGTGCCCCGGTCGCCCACCCCGCCCTGCCCGCCTGCCCCTTCCTCCAGCTGCTGCCCAGGGGCTACGCATGGCAGCAGGTGGCAGCGGAGCCAGCGTGCTCGCCCTCCCACACCCCTAGGAGTGCGGCTTCTTCGCCGGGCCTGGCCGACACCGCTCAGAACAGCCCTGGCTCGGGCCATGGGCGGCCGCCGCTGGAGGGAATGCCCTAGTGCGGACGGAGACCCACTTCAGGGGCAGCTGTGAGGCTTGGGACGCGGGCTCTGCGTTGAGCCTTGTGGTCGTCAGGGGCCCACAAGCCGTGGCTCTGGGATGGCTGCGGAGCTGTGTGCAGCCAGCCAGGAGCAAACGGCATGGCTGGACAGCCCAGCTGGCCCTCAGCGAGACCTCACCCCCAGTGGGCTGGTCGGGGACGCGTGGTCATCGGCAGCATCCCCTGTCCTGTGCTGAGAGGACGGGCAGGGGCATCGGGGCCCAGGTGTGGGCACAGGCAGGGGCAGCTACAGGCAGGACACACCCAGGCCCTCAGAGGCATCCACAGGACAGCCTCGCACTGGGGTTTCAGAGGGAAGAGAAGGCCGTGTGGTCAGACACAGGAGGGAGAGGCTGGTGCCCTCGGGAATTGGCCAGCACAGCCCAGCCTCCTGGGGGCAGCCGATGGACCAGCAGAGCCCTCAGTGCCTCAGTCCCCGATGAATGAGGTTGGTGGGGGCTTCCCCTAAGTTGGTGGGTGGACATAACAGTGCAGGCAGCAACAGCCTAACAGTCAAGCGTGGACTCCCGGGGGCAGCACGGCCTCGGCAGGACACTGGGAGTGGATGGCCAGGCCAGAGCTGCCAGGATGGCGGGGGGAGGGATGATGCCCTGCGCCGGACACTCAGCCAGCGCATCTGGACCCCAAAGCCCCGTGGGACCAGGAGCAGCATAGGGCAGGGATGCTCGACCCCTGACTCCAGGTACCCAGGCGTTCCCAGGGAGGGCCAGGGAACCCAAAGCAGGGCACCAGGGAAGGGGCCGCCGACCACCTGATCCTCATGGGGAGCGCTCCGGGCGCTGGGCAAGGGGTGTGTGTGTGTGCAGGGCCCAGTGCCACCCCCGCACCTCCCTGGCCCACCCTGGCAGCCTGAGTGCTCGGTGCCTGCGCACTGGGGCGTCCACACCGCGGACGCGGGAGGAGACGTGCCGTCGGGGGTAAGAGGACGCAAGCCGGTCCCTGCAGGAACAGCCCGAAAATGCTGTGTTGGCAGGGCTGCCGCCAGGCCCTTGAGAAACAAGCAAAGGCCTTGGCTGTGCTGCCTCGACCTGATGTTGCAACTCGGTGCTTTGGGCAAAATAAATTTCCTTTTCTAAACTGGGGTCGGCGCCATGCGGGAGGCTGTGGGGACAACCGTGCTGAGGCGGAGGGGCGGTGACCTCGGCGCTTCCAGAACCGGCCCTGCCCCGCCGAGGCCCCTGTGTAGTTTGCTCAAGTTGGAACCCACTCGTCTTCCAAGCAAAGGATGTTCCCAAGAAAAGGGATGAACAGAGAAGAGGGTCAGCATTTCCTCCAAAAGAGCTTCGTGCTAGAGCAGGCGGCAGCTTCTGGACGCCTGAGAAAGGCAGCGGGGCACAACTGGACCTGCTTGTGGCGCCCGCTACCCGCCCACCCTGGCTCCTCACCTCCCTGCCACAGCCTGCAGGGCCACCCGAATGTCCTCTCTGCACCCTGCCTTCACACAGGGGTGTCCAGGAATGACCCGGGCCCAGGCCCATGCAGGGGTCATGGAGCCCCGAGGCCCCTCTGGCCGCATGCACCCCACGCTGGGCCCCCAGGCCAAGGCAGGACCCCGTCCCGGTCATGGGCATCCTGCCCGGCCGGCCTCTTTCCTTGCACCTGATTCCCGGGTGGGGCTGGACGCGGCTCCCCTCCCATCACTGGCTACTCAGGGGGCAGGGAAGGAGCACGGAGGGCCAGGCCTAACAGGAAAGGGGGGTGCAGGCAGGAGCCCTGACCCCGGGACAGGCTCCAGCACCCCGATCACCTGCGGCGCGGGCCTCACCTGAGGGGTGTGCAGCTGCAGGCCCTCGCTGGCCACTGGCTGGCGGGACGGCGTCTGGTCCAGGTGCAGGTTGAAGATGGTCGCCAGGGCGGACTGCGCGGCCCGCGCCTTGGCCAGCTTCTTGTTCCGGCCAGAGCCCTCGAAGAACTGGCCGTCCACCACCACGGACATGACAAAGTTCTTGGCGTGGCTCTCGCCGCTCTCGGACAGGAAGTCGTACTTGAGGCCCGGCCGCAGCTCGTTCAGGATCATCACGGGGTTCTTGCCGCTGGGCGGGGGGAAGGGCGGCGGCACGGGCGGGGGCGGCTGCGCCAGGCCGGCGGGCGCGGGCGAGGCAGCCAGGCCCAGGTCGCCGGGGCTGAGCGGGGCGTCCCCGTTGGCGCCCAGGTAGAAGGGCAGCTCCGTCCTGTCGGGGGTCTCGAAGCCGTTGAAGAGCGCGTCGGGGAAGTCGGCCTGGTCCGAGGTGAAGTCCGTGTGGGCGGACGGGGCGCGGCCCATGGCCAGGTGCGCCTCCGAGGCGTTGGGGAACTGCACAAAGGAGCGCAGGGCGCGCTCGGCCGCCTGCAGCTTGGCCTTCTTCTTGGTGGGGCCAGAGCCCTCGAACACCTGCCCGTTGACCTCCACGGACATGAGGAAGAGGGGCGCGTGCACCGGCCCCGTCTGGGACAGCAGCGTGTACTGCAGGCCGGGCTTGATCTCGTTGAGCTGCATCAGCGCGTTCTTGGGCAGCGCCGGCCCCGGCGCCCTCCTCCTCCGCTTCAGGCGGTACTTGGCGTGGCCGTTGCTGCCCTCCTCCAGGGGCCGCTTCCTGCCCCCGCCGCCCCCGTTGGAGAGCGGGGCGCCCTCGCCGGGCCCCGGGGCGCCGCTGCCCCGGGGGGCCCGCTGCCCGGGCCGCAGGGCTCCTCGGCCCCTGTGCTGCTGGAACCTGCGTGCCCAGAAAGAGCAACTTACAACGCCTTCGTTGCAGGATCTTGTAAATGCAAAATTTAGCGATTCCTTCATGGCTCTTTGTAACTGGGCAGTGGTGTGTGCCGCGGGGGCTGCCCGCCCAGGAGGGCCCGCGGGGCTGTGGGCAGGAAGGTGCTCTGTGAACCCCCCTCAGAGGACACTCCCCGGGCCGCCGGGTGCCCTGCCTATGTGGTGAACGGGCCTAACAGCTGCCCCGACCCCACGTCCTGTCTCAGGCTTCTCCCCTTGGGCGCCATCTACCCGCCTCCTCCCGGGGCGGAGCCGACAGCACCCCAAGCAGGAACCAGGCACATAGTCATGGGGGGCGTGGGCAGGTTTGGGGGGCCCAGCCATGCTGGCGTTAGTGCTCAGCCCGCGAATCAGTCTTCGAGAACCGCTCGGTGACTGCAGCGCCCCGGCCTTCCAGAAACATTCTGAGGGGCTCGGCTTCGTGGCCCTAAACTCAACTCATCACACATGGCGCCTGGCTTATCTGAATCCTCACCACGTTCCACGATGGGAAAAAACCACGTGAGCATAAACAAAAGCAGGGAAGCTTCAGCTGGCCAGACAAGGACTGGCAATTCTTTTCTTTTAAATAAATATTGGCTGGATTTGCAAAATTTGGCCATCCTACCCCCCGGAGCTAGTTCACAGGCACGACCGGCAGGGACTCCGAGTCCACACCACACGCACTGCTGGTCTGCTGTGGGCAGCACGGAGGCCTCCGAGGAGGGGCCGCGGCCACGAGAAGCCTGGACCAGCCTCTGGGAATCTACGGTGCCTCTTCTGAGCCACCACGGCAGTTTCAAGTCACACCTGCAACCGACTTCAGGCATCTCAACGCGGAGCCCTGGGGCCTAGTCTCCCGGCTCACAGGCGGCCTAACTACGCTCAGCGAACTGGACCGTCCATCCGCTGGGCCGGAGGGCTTCGCGGCAGCAGTGGGCGGCGCTCCCGCCCAGGCCAGAGCGTGACAGGCTGGAGGGGGAAGGGCCCCGCCAGGGGAGGGGGGCACCGGCCAGCTGGGGCCTGGGGGCAGCTGGGGGCAGCAGGGGCAGCTGGGGCGCTCTCCCAGCACCGCCTCTCCCGGGCCACACACCACTTCTCCCAGTTGACAAAGCCGACGGAATGGGCGCTAAATTTCCATTTATAACATCCTCCAGCAAAAGCTCAATAGGTTACTCCTTTCGGTGCTCGAAGGAAACAAGAGGCGACAGGGCAGAGGAGACAGGGTTAGACGAGCAGCTCAAGCCCCCACGCTCCAGCCCCGCGGCACCGGGCCGGCCTCCCACTCAGCGCCCAGCACACCCAGGGGCCCTGGCCTCGGCGCACTGGACACCGTGCGGCTGGGCTGTGGCACGCTCCTCACACGCCTGGCCCTGGCCCACACCTGTAGGACGTGAGTGTCCACAAGAGAGTGGACACATGTTTCAAAGCGCGGCCACCAGAACCAACTGCCACCCTCCCCAGAAGGCGCTCAGGGGCCTCTTCCTGGGCGGGCAGCCACAGGACCAGATGTGGGGTGCTGTCTACACCCTGTGGGTGTGCGGGCGGTGGCTCAGGCCCCCCAAGTGGCAGCAGGACCTGCAGCAAACAGGCAGGCTCTGGGCACCCCAGAGCCCGGTGCAGGCCGCACACCTCCCACCCCGGCCCCGGGACTCAGCCCACTCGGCCTCGGCACAGGCAGCCACGGGCACCCGGCTCGCACGCTGTGGGGCCAGGCTGGGAGACGCAGGGGCTGTGTCCTGGGCACACGCTCGTGCTGGCCTCTGCCAGGCACTCGGCTTCTGTGGGCGGCCCCAGCGCAGGGCGCCCCCAGCCTTGGAGCAAGGACAGGGGGACGCGGGACTCTCGCAAGAGCCACTCTTGGGCTGGCGCCAGCCCTCTACCTGCAGCCGGCCCACATCCCTCACGGCCTCGGGGAACCGGGGCTGGCGCCTTCCCTGGCCCGCAGACAGCACTGGGCCTGGAGGGAAGCCAGCATCACCCCCAAACACAGGGGGCGCAGTGAGCTCAGGGCTCCGGCCCACCCTGAAGAGGGCCTGGGCAGGCCACGCTGTGACCGCCCTGGGGCTGGGCCTGCTCTGCCCCAAGATCGGCGCGCGTGACAGCCCAGGGCGAGGGTGTGGGCCGGAGAAGCCGCCAGGGGCCGCCGGGCAGTACCCACAGAGCCCCGCGGGGCGGCTGAGCCGGGCAGCCGGCCTTACTCATGTTCTCTTCGTCTTCCACGTCCATGGTGAGACGCTGCCTGGGGCTCTTGACCAGCGGAGACGGCTTCTGTCTGAAAGACAGCGAGAAGGGACGCTGTGGGCCACGGGGCACCGAGACACGCCCTCAGGAGAAGGGCGTCACCGCCGGCCAGAAGTCAGAGGCCGCAGCCCCACCCAGCATGTCAGGGTGACAAAGGAAGGGGCAGCAGGAGCCACTGGCAGGGACCACAGGCCCTCGGGACCAGCACCCAAGCCCCACCTAGACACCCCTGGGCCACAGGGCGGGGGGGGGGGGCGGCCAGGGGACCTGCAGCCCGGCCCGTGCAAGGACGGAAGACAAAGATGGCGGCAGCCCCTGCACTGTGGGTCTGGGGAGGGCGAGGAAGGGGGCACAGCCTGCAGGGCGACACACCGCACATGCCCACAGCACGCCTGCCACACCTGCACACGCCCACCACGCCTGCACGTGCCCACAGCACGTCCACCACACCTGCACATGCCTACCACACCTGCCCAACAGTCCTGTATATGCCCGACGCTGGCTGTGGCCCTGGTCTCCGGCTCCATGGGGCCTCACTGCGCCAAGGGCACTGCCCAAGGACGGCAGGTGAGAAGCGAGCAGGTGAGGCCCTGCAGGTCCCCTGGGGCCCGGCACCTGTGGTGGCCTGAGCTGGACTAAACAACCTGCTGGGCTGCCGCCCCCGGCCCGCCTGCCCTCGCACCTCAGCGTTTGGAGAGATCGGGGCCGCCTGGCAGACAGCAGCCGAGGGCGTGCAGCCAGCGCTGGGGTGCGGGGAACAGGTTGCTGGGCCCCTGGCTTGGAGGGAGGGGACCTCAGTCCGCAACTACCAGGGCAGGCCCCGACCGCGCGGTGCCGTCCCACTGGGTCAGTCTCCCGATGCCCGCTGTGCCCGTCAGAGCCTGCCTGGCACCAGCAAGTCCTGGCACAACACGCGAAGCTGGTGACCAGGGTCACCCAGCTGCCCTGGCCCCCCTCCCCGCCTCCACCAGAGCCGCCGAGAGCAGTGAAGGGCTGCCCCGGTCCAGGCGGCCCCACGGCAGAGCCCCGCAAGCGCCCGCGCTGACGGCTCATAATTAAAATTACTTTCGGACTCTTTTCGACTTCAATGTGTTTTCATTTCCAACTTCAGCTGCCTCACTTGCAAGTCAGTAACCGCTGGATTCTCAGGGGGACCAGAGTCAAACCAAACCCCCAACACCTGACGTCCCAGGCAGCGAGTTTTTATCTAGGTCCTCGCAGTAAAGACTCCAGTTTTTTAATGTTTCCAGACTAAGTCTCTTAAAAGCTACTCTTGAGGAAATTTGCTGCAGCAGATCTCTAGCGACGCCTGTTGCTTGTTAATTATGCATGTAAAGTGACCCCCCGGGAGACAAGGCCACTGGACACCGGAGCTCCTCAGCAGTGTCTGTTAACAGCCTCCGGGAGACTCAAGGCTGCAGGCGCCTCCGGTGAAAGGAAACACCAAGCAATTGACAGACGCCCCCTCGGCGGCGGGAAACCCGGCTCCGCGAGGCACACAGCTCAACAGCGACAACCCAAGAGTCCACAAGCGGGCGGCGGGGACGACAGACAGTCCACCGAGGGCCCAGCCCCCGGGGGACCCCGTGGAAGGCGCAGACCCCGGGGCCAGGCGCGCGGGCGCACCCGGACTCACCTCCAAAGCCTCCAAGGAAGTGCCCCGCGCCCCGCGTCCACCCCGGAGCGGCCCCGCTCGCCGCAGGAGTCAGGGGCAGCCACGCACTGAGGGGCCTCCTGGCCGGGGCACGGGGGGCGCAGCGGGCTTGGCCGCGCAGGGAACGCAAGCTTCGCGGGCGGCCGAGCGGTTCGTGGCGATGACCACGCGCTGGCCACGGGCACGGGGACGCGCCCACGGAGTCCAGCACCTTCTCAAGCCAGGGGGCGGCCATCAGGAGGGGTGTGGGGGGCCCGGGGAGGGGGTGCCCTGTGCCCAGCACCGTGGGGAGCCTGGCCTCGGGGGTGCCCTGCTGGTGGGGGGGCCCCACTCACTCCTACAAGTCAAACCCGCACTTAGGGGTGGTGGCCACACCTCAATAAATGCAGCTTAAAATCAGACTGTACGAGAAAGCCACCTTTCCACTGAAATGAAACAGAAAATGCAGGGTTGCAGCAAGAGGGGCTGACTGAAGGGATCCCCAAAGCAGGAGGAAGAGGGGGGCACAGCTTTCACCTTCAGAAAAGCCCTGGAGGCCACCACGCCATCCCACCTCCCTGACCTGTGGGAACTTTCCCGACGCGGCTTCTGGAAATGAAGCCAGGTCTCTGCCTGTCAGCACTTACCTGCCAGGATATACATCTGCCCGCACACACCTGCCCGCACACACCCGTCAACACTCACCTGCCAGGCCCCACACCTGTCAGGAAACATACCTGTCAGCACCCACCTGTCAGGACAGACCTGAGTTGGGCACAGGAGCAGCAAACTCCGTTCTTAGTCTGTGGGTGCTGGCACCCACCCTCTGGTACCCACACCTGGTCAGCCCCTGTCCTGGGAGTGGGTGGGCAGGGAGGGGAAGGGCGATGCTGGGACAGCCCATCCAGACCTCACCTGGACTCCCGCCCATCCGGCCCCTGCCCACCGCACGGGGCTTGCCCGCAGCCCCCACTGCTCCATCGCCTGGGGACAGCCCAGCACACAGGTGATTCTGGCTGGTAAATCCCCCTTCAGGAAAACAAGGCCCAGGCTTCACCACAGGTGAGGTCAGGCGCCCTGGTGATCAGAACAGCCGCCCCTCAAAGGCCTTCTGGGTGGCACAGGACGCTCACATGGGCTGCGCAGCCCCAGCTGCACAGTGGCAGGAACCCTGCCCAGCGCTCCTGGGCCCTGGGCCAGAGATGGCAGTGGTCTGGTAGCTGCCGGGGCACAGGAGCACCGGCCTGCAGGGCCATGGGACATCAGGGGACCTGAGCCACAAGGCAGGATACTCAGCCCCTGGACAGGACACGCGCTGGAGGCACGACGGCCCGTGGGCGTCAGGGCGGTCACCCCGAGCAAGCGCCCGCAGGTTTCTCTGCCCGTCCCTGACCTTGACGTCTGCTGAGCCTCTCTGTCTGCTGGGGCCCCGAGGAGCAGCTGCTGACTGTGGGGCCGCGCCCAGGAGAGTGCAGGCCGTGCTCCTCAGGCGCGTCAGCTGTCCATGCCCGCGGGCGCTTCCCCAGGCCTCTGCAAGGAGAAGACACGAGCACCCATGAGCACCAGGCCAGCCCCAGCCATGCGCACCCACGCCGGCCCCCGCAGAGCGCCCCCCAGCGCCCCCTGCTCCAGGCAGGCCCCCGGGGCCTGCAGAACAGGGTCCCGGCCCGTGGCAGAGAACAGACAGGGCCCTGGAGGCCCTGGGGGGAGCAGACTACTTGGGAACCCCAGAGGGAACAGCCATTGCCCAGGCTCCAAGCCAAAAGCCCAGGCCTAAGGAAAGAGACCGAGGCCCCAGAGCCAGCGGCGACTCGGGGCGGGGGTCAGCGCCGCGGCCGGAGGCCAGGACGGCCAGTGCCCGGGGAGCCCCCTCCCGCGGGGCCATCAACGCGAGGCTCACGCATGACGGTCTGGGCGGGGTGACCAGGTGTCGCCTGCACACAGGCCCTGGCGCACAGCCGGAGCTCAGGCCTCGGGCCCGGGCCCGGGGTGGACGGCGGGCAGGGCTGGGGCGGGGCGGCGCGGGGTGGTGCCCGCAGAGACGAGCGAGCCAGGCTGGGGCGCCCGCGCAGCACCCCCTCCGGCGGGGCGCGCACCCAGACCAAGCCCCCACCTCGGTGGGCACCCTCGCGTGGCCAGGGCCCGGCGTCTGCGCCCGAGATCACGGCAGGAAGCGACACGCGGGTCTGAGAAGGAGCCACAGCTCCCCCCACTCCCCCGCGAGCGGGGCAGGCACACCCTGGAGCCGGCGGGGGAGGGGGCGGCGGGGGCGCAGCCGGAGCGCAGCCCAGAGAGAACGGGGCGCCCAGCAGGGGCGCCCGCGGCGCAGAGGGACACGCCGGGAGATGAGCAGGCCGGGCGGGGACTGGACACGGCCAGTGGCCGGGGCGGGCCAGGGGCCGCTGCCTAGGAGCAGAGGAGGCGCCGCGTCCCCCCTGGATCCCGGCTGCTCCTGGGCCTGAGGGCCTGAAAGGAAGCCAGGGGCCAGGGGCCCCCGCGAGATGGGGGGTGCGAAGGCCGCTACAGGCGAGACCCCGCAAGGGCATGCGGGGGACAGAAGGGCGAGGACGGGCCGGCAGCCCCAGCAGGGCCAGAGCCGGGGCGGAGGAGGCTGGGGGCTCCGCGCGAGAAGGGGCCGCTGGTCTCAACCCCACGCCGGGCTCTCCGCCTGCCGGCCAGAGGGCAGCGCGAGTCCAGGGCGGGCGGGCAGCACAGGGAGGCCGGCCGCGGCAAGCAGCTCCAAGGCCCCAGGCACAGCGAGTGACTTGGAAACTATTCTCGCCGCAAAAGAAAAGGCGTGCCAGGCTCCTGGGGGAGCCGCGAGCCAGGGCGGGGGACAGGCGCAACCAGCGGAACGGGACTGGCTCGGCTGGGATGGCCGCCCCCAGCACCTCGGATGCCCAGACCCCAGACCCATGTGCCCGCCCGCTCCCAAAGCGCCACCCCCCGCGCTGCCGGGCAGCCCCTCCAGAGCCGCAGTGTCCCCTCCCACAGGGCCGTCAGCCCGTGGGCCCAGCGTGGACGGCCTGCCCCCAGTGGGGTCCTGGGGCACCTGCATGGGCAACCTGGCCACACACGCTGTCATGGTTGCCCAGTGCTCCGCATGGTCAGCGGCGCCTACACTGGGCCAGAGTGGGCAGGACAGGGAGCCGGCCGGCAGGGTCCCTCCTGGAAACAGTCAGTGATGGGGCCGCAGCCAGGACTGAGCCAAACCCCCAGCAGGGGCTGTAGCTCAGCAACACGAGGTGGATGGACAGCGTCAGCATGTGTGGGGGGGCAGCGGGTGGCGGCCGCACCAGCACACAGGCTGCTCATGGGCAACACAAGCAAGCGCTCGTCGGCATCAATGTCTACCTCGGGGCTCAAGGCCCGGCTCCCCTGGACACCATGCAAAGGCAGGGCCCGGCCAGGTGACAGCCTGGCCCTGGAGCCCAAGCGAGGCCACCTGCCCATGGCTTGGGAAGAGGGCGTCACGGGCCGCAGGACTGCCGGGCACCACAGTGAAGGGCCCCTGCCCTGCATGTCCACCTGCACCCCTAGTCCAGAGCCCAGTGCTTCCCATGGGGGCCCTTCTGGCTGGCACACAAGATGTGCCACTGGTCATGAGCATGGACAGCTGCCTGCCCAGCCCCACAGCCTGCGGGGTGACCACTGCCCCAAGCACGGCGACCTGCAGTCTCAGACATGTCTACACGTGCTGGGCTGCGTGGCCTGGGCTGGGGCTGACGGGCTCAGGGAGACGGGACTCATGAAGACACAGCAGCTGTCACCACCAGCCACACATCCCACTGGACACACACCACGTCCAGGCCATGGCCACCGCCAGACTCAGGACACACACCATGTCCAGGCCATGGCCACCGCCAGACTCAGGACACACACCATGTCCAGGCCATGGCCACCGCCAGACTCAGGACACACACCATGTCCAGGCCATGGCCACCGCCAGACTCAGGACCACAGCTGAATTTGGGGGCAGCTCCCAGGCTGGGGTGAGCCACCAACACGTCCCAGGGCACCTTCAGGACAAACAACCCCACCTGGCCCCCGGCAGCCTGGGGAAGCGTCCATGAGGCGGGCAGCTCCCCCTGCAGACAATACAACTCCACACGAGGACGTGTGAAATCCCCCATCTGCCTCCACTGGTGCCAGCCACACGCGGGGACCCCTGCCTGCCTCCTGCCTACAGGCCCCAGCCCCACCCGTGGGCCCCGAAGCATGAAACACCATCCCGGGGGAGAAGCAACTGGCCAGACCACAGCCCTCGGGGGCCCGAGCCCACCAGAGCAGCCGTGGGAGTGGGAGAGTGCAGCATCCCGGCTGCAGCCCGTCAGCAGGGCAGACAGCAAAGGTGCAGCCTGAGCTGCAGGACATGGCCCGACCGGGGCATGGCTGCCGCGCGGGGCCCAGGGCAGCATGAGGGTGGCATCTCATGCAGCCTTTGCAGAACCTTCCGGAAGACTGAATGCAGGAAGCGATGTTCTATGACACTGTCCACCAGGCTTGAGTTAACTTGCTTGTGTTACCTTTCCTTGAAGATGCCCCAAATTTACCTGCTAAAAATACAGTGAACGATGACAGCCCTTGTAGCCAGAAATATTAAAGGTGCAATAAATGGCAGCAACTGCTTGTAAGCGTCGCCAGCGGGACGGGCACGCGAACGAGCCGGGGTCATCCCCGACTGCTGGTGGAAGCCGCTCCCCCTTGGACAGAGGTTCCTGCCGGTGGGAGTTGCCAGCCCAGCCCTTGAGGAAGCAAAGGAACCCCTTGGCCTGGCAAGCCCGGGACGCAGCTGCTGCTCGGGGCGGCCGTGGGTGCGCCTCCAAACCAGCACCAGAGGACCTCACGCTCTCCAGAACAGGGTGAGCGCCAGCGCCTGCTCCGGCGCGGGGACGCTGACCGCCTGTGACCATGGCTGAGGCCACCGCCTCAGGGCTAAGCCGCCACCCTTGCCGTGGAGGGAGCCACGCAGAGAAGAACTTTCCATTTGCTTCTCAAAATGTGGACGCGAAAAGGTCAAGTAAAAATAAATAACAAAGCAAATTGACTAATTTGAGCTTCTTTGCTCCCCGCACTAACACAGTGAAAGTTAAAAATAAAAGAGGTCTCAGCTTTTTGTGGAAAGTGTTTTGGGGGTAAAAATACACACAGCTGCGCCGCCGGAGCGTGACTGGCACCGGGCCGCGCGGGGCCCACCAGAGATGGGAGCTGAGGTGCCCACGCGTGCCCAGGGGGCGTCCGGAGTAAATAAACAGGGTGTTGCGTAAACCGGCTTGAGCCGGCTCTCCACCGCGCGGCCAAAGCAAACTAAGAGGCAGTCCCCTCGCAGGAGCCTGCAGGAGCCTGGAAACAAGCAAGGCCCCGAGGCCTGGGCTGTCCCTTCTCTTCAACAGGCCTCAAGCCTGGAGGACGGCCCGCGGGAAGGCGGGTGGCCTCTGGAGGGAAGCCCACCCCGCCCCAGCAAGGTCACTTTCTTCTTTGACTTCCAGACTGGCCCCCAAACTAAATGAAGCACAAAGGCCGGTGAGGCTTCTGACGGCTACCCCAGGCTCATCTTCAGAGGTGGGAGCTGGAGGGGCGGCGGGGGCCGGAGGGGTGGCGGGGGCTGGAGGGGCCTGGGCCTAGCACCCCACAGGCCAACGCTCGGGTCCAGCCAGAGGCAGCTGAGCCGGTCACCAGCCCAGCAGCGGGCCGCAGGACAGGCCCGCGGGCTCCGGCACGCCAAAAGCAGGTGCGCCACAAGCTCTTGGCCCAGATGGGGCTTACAAGGAGCCCGCCAGGCGGGGCCAGGCTCAGTCCCGGACTCTGGTGGCCAAAATTTCTCGTTGGCAGGTCTTTCCTCGACCCCCTCATTCGCCTCCAACTCAAGTCCAGGGGAGGCGCCAGCCGGAGGCCATGGTCCGCGTCAGGCCCTGATGCCTGTGCCCAGGCGTGTCCGCTGAGGTGCGGCTCAGGGAGGCCGAGCGCCGCCTGCGCAGGCAGAGGGCAGCTCCCCCAGACCCTCCTCACCCCGGGTCCTTCCGGACAGCAAAGCAGGAGTCCTAGGCAGACAAGGGTCTCCCTGAGGGAAAAAAGTAGGAAGCAGACTCGTCGGGGCCCAGGCCTGGGGGGCGGCCGGTGGCCAGAGGAACAGCCCAGGTCAGCAGGAGGACCCTGGACTCTGGACCAGGACCTCCGCCTCGGGCCAGAGATGTGCGGCCGTCCACACGAAGGCCACCTCGAAGCAGCTGGACCACCTGGAGGGGCCGCGGAAAGACAGGCAGGCAGAGGGGGCCGAGTGCTCCCCGTTCAAGCCAGGAGGCCCCAGCCACAGCCTGGGCGGCGGGCAGGCCACGGGTCTCAGGCCTGGGTGGCTCCCGCCAGCCTCCCCGTCAGGACACTTTTCCCTGGACGGAAGCCGGGGCCTCGGGCAGGATCAGGACTTGCGCGGCAGCACATTTCTCAAGGGCCGGAACCCCATGCCCCCTCCTACGTGGACGTGAGTTCTGAGTCGCCTCTGCAGCTTGGGCTGTAACACAGCCAGGCCCGCCGGCCCCTTCCTGGCTGCCCGGGACTTGTGTTTCCCGCGTCAGCCCAAGGCGGGAGACGGTGGCTGCCCGGGAGGCGGGGCCCTTTCAGCCGAGGCCGGGGGCCCACAGCCCTGCACGGCCAGCTCCAGGCAGACCTGTCACCTGCTCACCAGAGGTCGGGGGCCAGCGGTCACAGCAGGAAGCCAGTGGGCACGTGGGTGCAGCCCCGTAAGCGTCAGCCCAGCAGGGATGTCTGGAGCCCCAGGGACCCCCAGGGAGCCCCTGCTCCAGCCTCAGTGTCTCGCTCCCCAAAGCAGCAGCCCCACAGGTCCTCCAGCCAGTCCTCCCTGGGACCAGCTCTCCCTCCAGGTGGGCTGTGCGTCCCCCCGTCTCCCGGGGCCACAGCTCAGCTCTCTGCCCAGCAGCGACTGCGGCTGTTACCGGAACCGACTGCCCAGCAGGGCAGCGGCCACGGCAGCGCTGGCCTCGCCCGCTGCCCACCACCGCCGACCCAGGCTGCGGCTCCTCGCAGGCCCCGCCTTCGACCTTGGAGGCACATGGCCTGGATCGCGGACGGACCGTCAGTGTGAGCTGTGAGCTGATTGGTGCTAAATGGTCCAATCAGCCACAGGATTGACAAACGGCCCAATCAGACGCGGGGGCGGGGCTCCCCAGGCCACTATAAGCGGCTCCGGGGCGCGGGGGGGGGGGGGGGGGGGGGTGGTTGGGGATGGGGATGGGGCCGCCGCCCGGCCCAGGAGACGGGCTGGGGCGTGAGCGGAGCGGAGCCCCTGGTAGGGGCGGGCCTGGGTCCCATCTGTCCCCCCAGGCCCTGGGCTGGTGTTTGCTGCTGGCGTCGCCCGCCCTCTCGCCTGGACCCTGGCGTCCGGCCTCCTCCCGCCGCCCCCACCGGCCCCAGCCCGCGCTGCCCCGCGGCGGGGGCCTCCCTGGGGCGAGGCGGCCCCCTCGGGCCGCGGTGAGCGCTGTCCCCATGTCCCCGTGGGCGAGCCGCGCCCGCCGCAGCTGTTCCCGGCCCGAGGCCTCGTGCAGCCGCCGGGGGGCCCGCGGATCACCCCTGTGCAGCAGGACGCGGGGGGTGGGGGGGGGTGAGCCCACGGCCCTGCTGGGCGGCTGCAGCCCTCGGCATTGGTCTTTGGGGTCTCGGGGCTCTAGGGCAGCCCCATCATCTCAGAGCCTGGGCGGGTGGGCGGCCATTCCAGCCACCCGCATCCGCCTGTCCTGCATGCCCGCCTCGCAACAGCACCAGGCCAGGGTCCCCCCACAAGCCAGCACAGGGGGAGCGGAAGGGGCCACGGCCGTCCCGCCGGCCCACACAGGAGACCTCAGGTGCAGCCCGCACCCAGCCCTGCGCGCCCGGGGACGCGGTCCTGGGGTCGGTCAGCAGAGGACACAGCCCAGCTGCAAGAGTCGGTCTCCCGCAGAGGCCCGGAGGACAGGGCGGGCAAGCTGGCGCTCCCAGACCACCGCATGCGGCTGTTCCTGGGCACGGCTTTCGTGGGCTGCTGAGAACATTCCAGAGCTAAGGGGAGACAGACCCCCAGGAACGCACACGCGGTCCCTGCTCCCACGCCGGAGGTCACTGCGCACCTCTGTTTCCGCTCCCGAGTCCTGCTGCAGTGACCACAGCCAGTCACACTGGCTGCCCCCCAGCACAGGCGTGCCGTGATGAAGACTCTGAAGGTCCACTCGGCACCGTGCAGACAGCCAGCCCTGCCCGCGCCCCGCCCTCTGCAGCCACGGCTGGGCGCCCGCGGTGCCAGCCACAGCCCAGGCCCAGCGCTGCTATGTCATTACTAACTGCTCAGACATTGCAAGTATGTCCCCAAGGGCCTCCTCCTGTCCAGGGTCCCACCCAGATCCCAGACGGCACTTGGGATTGGCTGTGAGGCGCCTTCCCAGCTGTCCCAGCCCCCAAGCCTCCGTGCACCCCACTCTGTGCACCTTGGCAGGTGGGGTGTGCCTGAGTAGGTGTTACTACTTCATAACAGTGGCTGACATACAGAAAAGCAGCAGACATACTGAGAGGCCCCAGGCCCCCCACGCCAGCCCTGGGGGCTCCCTTCACCAACCCCCAGCCTGATTCTGTGGTTGAGAGGCTGCTGCTTTGGCCTTGGAGGGCCCTTACAGCCGGCTCCCGCACCCCCAGGCACCCGGCCGCCAGGGGCGCTGTTTTGTTTGGGGCACCTGCGCGGGGTCTTGGAGGGTCCCCCGGCTCTCCCCGCTGGTCCAGCACGCGCAGTCGGGCAGCTCGCGACTCATGCTCGGGTCACGCCCCGATGGAGACCCGGCCTTCAGGGGAACCCCAAGGAGCGGGTCCTGGGACCGGGCAGCCTGCAGTGCAGGCGAGGGGTCCCCGCGTCACTGCCGCGCGGCCACACGACTAGCTTCGCGGACGCGCGCGGCGCTCCGTTTCTCAAGACGCAAAGCCCCTGCACGGCCTCGCGCGGGCGCCGGGAAGGGACGCTCGGGGACCCGCGCTCCTTGCCCGCGCGGCGGTCAGCGGTCAGCGGTCAGCAGGCACCGGCGGGAAGACAGGCCCGGGCCGGGCTGCGGCTCCAGCAGGCGCGCGTGGCGCCCGCGCAGCAGAGCCCGGGTTGCCCGGCGGGAGCGCCCTCCGCGCCGTGGGCGCCAGGCAGCAGCGGGCCGCGAGCAGAGGCCCCGCGGAGGGCTCGCCGGCCACGCCCGCGCCCAGGGAGCGGCTCGGACACCTGAAGCCCCGCGCTGCGCCGGGGCCGGGAGCGCACAGGCCCGGGGGCGCGCGGGGCGCGGGGCGGAGGCCCAGGCTCGCGGCCGCAGCTGACCGTTACCAGCCGCTCCCGCTGACCGGCCGCCGCGCACAGGCCGCGGGCTCCGCGCAACCGACTCCCAGGGACGCGGCGACCGCCTGCCCGAGAGGGACGCCCGAGCGCACGACCATGGCGGCCCGAGCCCCGCCGGCGCTGCTGCTGCTGCTGCTGCTGCTGCTGCCGCCCCGGCCCGCCCGGCCGGAGCCCACGGCCGCGCCCAAGGCCACCGCCGCGCCGCGCCGCACCTCGGCCGCCGGCCGGTCCCTGGCGGACAGCGAGCTGACCGCCCGCGCCCCGCGCCCCGCGCCGCGCCCGCTCGCCCTGCTGGCCCCGCTCGCCCCGCTCGCCCTGCGGCCGGCCCTCGGGTAGGGGCGCCCGCAGCCCAGGCCGCCCGCCCAGCGCCTCCCTGCCGGGCGCTCCCCCTCGCCGCGGGCGCGACGCCGGGACCACAGCTGCGCCCGCGGCCCCGCGCCCCGCCCCGACGCCTCCCGCCTCGCCCCCGCGCCTCGCCCCGACGCCTCCCGCCTCGCCCCCGCGCCTCGCCACGACGCCTCCCGCCGGCGAGCAGCCCGGGGAGCGGCCTCCGAGGCTCCCGACGGCGCCGGGGCGCGGGGTGCCCGCAGCCGCCCCTCCGGAGCGGGAAGAAGCTGTTTTATCTTTACTCGGTTCATTAAACTTAGAGCCTCAAACACCGGCGGGCGGAGCTGACCGAGGCGCGGGGTCCGGGGCGCGAGGCCGGGGGTCTGGGGCGCGAGGCCGGGGGTCCGGGGCGCGAGGCCGGGGGGCCCGGGAGGCGCAGCGCCAGCGGGCGGGGGCGGGCGGCCCCGCGGCGGGTTGGGGGTCAGCGGCACGCGCGGCGGGGACCGGGGCGCAGGGCGGGGCTGGGGGCCGCGGGGCCGGCCAGCGGGGCAGGGCGGGGAGTCGGGGGACACCTGCTCGTGCCGCGTCCTCGGGCCCAGCCCCCGCGGAGGGCACCGGCCGCGCGGCCCTCTGGCCCCGGAGCGGGCCCGGCTCCCGCAGGCCAGGCCTCGCCCGGAGCCAACCCCCAGGGCAGGGGCACCGAGGGGCGCCCGCAGGAAGCCCGCTCCCCTCTTCCGAACGCCGGGGGCATGAGTGGGCGCCCCGGAAAGCCCCCGCGGGCGGGCACCTGCCCGACGCCCGTGGGTCCTGCGGCTCGTCCCCAGGGCCGAGGCCGCCCACGCCCCGCCAGGGAGCGCCAGCCCGGGGTGGGGGACCGGCGTGGGGCGCCTTCCCCAGACTCTACCAAGGCCACCGGCGAGCGTGGGGGCGCGGCGCTGCCCGGGAGGCGGGGCGCCCCGCAACCACCAGACCAGCCGGGTGGGGCGCCAGGCCCGGGACTTCAACACAGGTGGGGGTGGGCGGGCGATGGGAAGGGGAGGGGACCCCGCAGGGGCGCGGAAGGCAGGGGCGGGATTGGGGTTCGGCCCGGGAAGCCCCGGGACGGCGCGGCGGGGGTCGGGCTGCGGTGGCATTTTCCACACAGTGAAAAGATGCGCCCCTCAGCCCGGGAGAGCGGCCCTGGCGGGCCCGAGCCCGAGCCCGGGAAGGGGGTCGACGAGACCCGGCCCGCAGGTAAACCGGACCCGAAACTGTCACTGCGGGCGCCGGCTCCGGCGTCCAGCCGGGTTTTAAAAACAGACCGTGCTGTGCCCGGCGCCCCTCAGCCCGGCCCGCCCCCGCGGGAGCCGGAGGGGTCGGGGGCGCCCGCGTGGGACCCTGCCCGGAGGAGGGCGGCCGCGGGGCCAGGAGCGCGCGGGCAGCACCCCCGGGCACGGAGTCCGGCGGCGCCGACAGGCCCGGGCCAGCTCCGGTCAGCGGCGGGGGGCGCAGGCGGAGCCCGGGGCCTGGCCGCGCCCACGCCCCGCCCCGCGCGCCCACGCCCCGCCCCGCGCGCCCACGCCCCGCCCCGCGCGCCCACGCCCCGCCCCGCCCCACGCGCCCACCCACGCCCCGCCCCCGTGCCCACGCCCCGCCCCCACGCCCCACCCCTCCACGCCCCGCCCCGCGCCCCACCCCGCGCCCCACGTGCCCCGCCCCGCCGCACGCGCCCATGCCCCGCCCCGCCCCGCGCGCCCGCGCCCCGCCCCTCCACGCCCCGCCCCACGCGCCCGCCCCGCGCCCCTCCACGCCCCGCCCCACGCGCCCACCCCGCCCCGCCCCCCGTGCCCACGCCCCGCCCCCACGCCCCACCCCTCCACGCCCCGCCCCGCGCCCCACCCCGCGCCCCACGTGCCCCGCCCCGCCGCGCGCCCATGCCCCGCCCTGCCCCGCGCCCCCACGCCCCGCCAGGCGCCCCGCCCCGCGCGCCCCGCCCCGCCCCCGCGCCCCACCCCGCCCCGCCCCCCACCCCACCCCCTCCCGCGCCCCGCCCCCGCGCCCCGCCCCCACGCCCCGAGCCCCGCCCCGCTCGAGCAGCCCCAGGGCCGCAGCGCACAGCGGAGCCCGTGGCCATCAGGCCGCCGAGCGCTCCGGGCCGGACAGCGGCGGCAGGGCTGGGCCCGCCGGGGCGGGCCGGGCAGTCAAAGCGGCGCCGGGGGTCGCGCCTCGGGGCCTCAAAGTGCGCAGCAGCGGCGCCGGGTCATTCCGGGACCAGAGAGGACGCGGCCGCGACGGCCCGGGAGCGAGCCCGGCGAGCACCGCGAGGCCCGCTGCGGCCGCGCCTGGGCCGGCTGCCCCGAGGGACGGGCCTCCGCGGCCGGGGCGGGCCCCGACCCAGGAGGCGGCGAGCGTGGACGCGGCCGAGGCCGGCGGGCCCTGAGCGGGGCCGCCCCAGCCCGGAGGGGCCGCCTCGCCCGCACGGCCCGACGCCGGACCAGGGCGGCGCAACGGACAGCCCGGGCCGCCCGGCCTCGGGGAGGGGCGCGCGCCGAGGGGTCTCCCCAGGGGCCGGCGGGCCGCGCGTGTCGGGGCAGAGTGGACGGGGCTCGGCGGCCAGGGGGCCCGCGGGCGGCCCGGGGCTGGGCCCTGACCGGCGCCCCCGCAGCCGGCGTCACCCCGTCCCCGGCCGCGGCAGCGCCGGTGCCCCCGGGTGACCCCCGCCACCCACCCACGGCCCGGGCCGGCTCCTGCGCCCACGCGCGCCCTCGCTGTGCCCCACACCCCGCAGCCAGACACACACCCCGCAGCCAGACACACACCAGGCACACACCAGACACACACCCCACACACCAGACACATCCCACATACACCAGACACACACCCCACAGCCAGACACACACCCCACAGCCAGACACACACCCCACAGCCAGACACACACCCCACAGCCAGACACACACCAGACACACACCCCACACACCAGACACATCCCACATACACCAGACACACACCCCACAGCCAGACACACACCCCACAGCCAGACACACACCCCACAGCCAGACACACACCAGACACACACCCCACACACCAGACACACACCAGACACACACCCCACACACCAGACACACACCAGACACACCCATCCCCCACACACCCCACACCCACCTCACACCCCACACACACACCCCACACACACACCCCACACACATACACCCCACACACACCCCCCACACACACCACACACACACCCCACACACACCTCACACACCAGACACACGCACACCTCACACATCCACAACACACACCAGACATACCCCCCGCCTCACACACACCCCATCCACCACATGTGTCTGTCACTTGTCTCACGTGGGGACATGCACACAGGCCACCTCCTGCTCTCCCGGCACCCAGCACCTGTTCGCGGGGGTCGGCTCCCTGGCGTGAGCTGCAGGCCGACCCTCTCCCAGCGCACGCTGGACGCCGCCTCCGACCTGCGGGAGACCAGCCTGGCTCGGCGGGGGCTGCCGCTGAGGCCCCACAGCCAGCGAGGAGTCCATGGACTCGGGGCCTGGGGCTTCCAGACAGAGAAGGGGGTCGCCCTGCAGCCCCCGCCCGCCTGCCAGGACCCCTGCTCCGTGAAGGGGCGCAGGCAGCACGGTCTCTGAACACAGCGCAGACAGGCCCCCGCCAGCACAGCGGGTCCCCTCGAGCTGACCGCCTCACCCCACACGGCAGCCGGGACGGACTTGGAGTCTCCCACCCTGCCGCCTCCTGAGCCCCACAAAGCACGGCAGGCACCAGGACCGCAGCCAGGGGAGCCCCGGCCCTGCACCCCGGAAACGCGCTGGGGAGCCCCGCCCCAGCTTGGGGGCCTCAGGGCCCCTTCTCTCCGGACTTGGCCTTTGCGCCGCCACAGCTGAGTCGAGCGTTTCCCGCTGGATTCGGCCGCTGTCCCGCAGCCTCGCTCCGGAGGGACGGGCGGGCGCCCCCTGCCCGCCAGGGGCACCCCCTCCTGGAGAGGCGGGAGGCTGGGGCTCCTCTGGTCCAGGCCGCCCTGTTTTCAGCAGATGAGTTTACTCTCCGCCTTCCCTGGTTTCAGAACAAGGTTTCTCAAGGTTTCTCCCGCGCGAGGCGCAGGCGGCCTGGACATCACACAGACGCGCGCGGTGAGCCGAGGTCTGATCCACGCGCGCGGGGCGGGGCAGAGGAAGCGCAGGTTTTGGGGGCCGGGGGACGGCAGAGGAGAAGAGGCGTCCCCTTGAGCCCGGGGGTCCAGCTGCTCAGGGCCAGGCTGAGGCCCAAGGGTGGCGCAGGGGGCGGGTGGGGCGGGGGACGACACGGGCGAGCCGGGCCACAGCGCACTCTCGTTCGGGGCAGCAGGTGACCGCCCATCGGCAGCGAGTCGGGCACACGGGAGGACGCTGCGGGGACAGGTGTGCCCCGTCCCGGAGGCCCTGGCCAGGCCAGCAGCCCCTCTGGGCAGTGGCCGGCTCCCGCGCTGCGCTGTTCACCCCGCGCCTGCGTCTACACTCACTGCTTCACGCAGACGCCACACCCAGGGCGCTGGGCACACGCAGGGTCCAGGGGGGCTGTGTGCACCAGACAAGCCCCACCGGGCGCGCACCCCAGCAGTCCAGCCCGGCCCTCATCTCCCTTCAAATCTGCACCCCACCCGACCTTCCACTGCTCCCCTTAAATGCCAAGCCCCCCACCCTCCCCGTAAACCCTGAGCCCAGCGACTGGCCCCTCAGCAACTCCAGAGAGGGTCCGGCTGCCGCCCAAGGGCTGGACCAGC